ATTTTAAAGCTTGATAGCCTTCGAGGTCCCCTTCTTTTATAGGCTTTCATTATGTTAAGCTGTACTCAGTCTATATCTCGTATTTTACACTTCGAAAAAGTCTTTTTCCCCATTTATTTAACATGGGGCACCAAATTTAGCGATTTTGAGATTTCAAAACGCTATAACTTCCGAACCGGAAGTCGGATCAAAATTTTGTTTGCAGATTCGGATTCCTGAGATAATTCTACACTTATTTGATAATTTACACGTTGAATTTGGAGAACTTTTTATGTTCTGACCTACTTTTCGGACGTCATTTCTCAAAATCGGCAAGAGTAATCAAAAAACGATTTGCCTTTCGGAATTAGCTTTTTTTCTAAGGAACATGATGAAAAAAAACCGGAGCAAAAATACTGAAGGACGACTGAGAAAACTTGTAAAATAGTAAAAACCCACGATTTGACCTAGTTCTTAACCTTTGACCTAGATAAACATTTGACCTAATTTTCCAGAAACTAAGTTTCATTACCTAGTTGACTATGTTAGCAGATTTAAGTAAGTCCTTCTAGTTGCTGAGAAAAAGTGTTCGGAAAGAAAGAATAATAATAATAATAATAACTAGATTGGTAAATTGAACAAAGTTCAATTTAAGACTCCAGATTGATTTACTTGAGTAAAGAGCTGAGTAAGTAACTGAGTAGGAAGCTGAGTAAGTAGATGATTAAGTAATTGAGTAAGTAGCTGAGTAGGTAGCTGAGTAAGCAGCTGAGCAGGTTGCTGAGTAAGTAGCTGAGTAGGTAGCTGAGTAAGTAGCTGAGTATGTAGCTAAGTAGGTAGCCGAGTAGGTAAGTAGGTAGGTAAGTAGGAATTTTTGACCGGGAGTCGGATTGAAATTTGGTTTGCAGATTCGGATTCCTGAGAAAATTCTTCCCTTAATTCATAACTCATAAGTTAAATTATGAGAACTTTTTATTTTGACCTACTTTACGGACACCATATCTCAAAAGTGGGTCAAAATACTTTCTGACGGCAAAAGGCTCTCACTATTAGCACACTCTTTGCTACCTGTATACAAAATTTTGAAGCAAATCCTGAAAGTGTAGTTCCAGAATCGCAAAATAAGGAAAAACTATGAATTTGACCTAGATTTTGACCTAGGCATTTTGGTGTCCAAATATTGAAACTAGGTAGCTTTTGAGGTCCCCTTCTTTTATAGGAATTCATTATCTTAAGCTGTACTCAATCTATATCTCGTATTTTACACTTCAAAAAAATCTTTTTTCCTTGACTTTCTATCAGGATACCATCAGATTGATTTTTCGAAATTTCAAAACGCCATAACTTCCGAACCGGAAGTCTGATGGAAATTTGATTTAAAGATTCGGATTCCTGACAAAATTCTACCCCTAATTCATAACTCATACGTTAAATTTGGCGAATTTTTATTTTGACCTACTTTTCGGACACGCCATAACTTTAGAACCGGAAGTCAGATCGAAATTTGGTTTGCAGATTCGGATTCCTGGGAAAATTCTACTCTTAATTCATAACTCATATGTTAAATTTGGAGGATTTTTTATTTTGACCTACTTTTCGGACACCATATCTCAAAAATGGGTCAAAATACTCTCTGACGGCAAAAGGCTAACACTATTAGCACACTCTTTGCTACCTGTATACAAAATTTAGAAGCAAATCCTAAAAGTGTAGTGCCAGAATCGCAAAAATAAGGAAAAACTATAAATTTGACCTAGATTTTGACCTAGGAATTTTGGTGTCCAAATATTGAAACTAGGTAGCTTTTGAGGTCCACTTCTTTTATAGGAATTCATTATCTTAAGCTGTACTCAGTCTATATCTCGTATTTTACACTTCAAAAAAATCTTTTTTTCCTTGACTTTCTATCAGGATACCATCAGATCGATTTTTCTCGAAATTTCAAAACGCCATAACTTCCAAACGGGAAGTCGGATCGAAATTTGGTTTGCAGATTCGGATTCCTGAGAAAATTCTACCCTTATTCCATAGCTCATATGTTAAATTTGGAGAACTTTTTTAGTTTGACCTACTTTCCGGACGCCATATCTCAAAATCGCTAAGAGTAATTAAAAAACGGATGGCACACTCTCGATTTGTTTTTTTCTAAGCTACATGATGAAAAAAAGATGAAGGAGTAAGGACAATCAACAATGAAGATAATTGACATAATGTTGATTTGACCTAAATTTGACCTAGTTCTTGACCTTTGACCTAGATACAAATTTGACCTAATTTCCCAGAAACTAGGTTGATGGGCTAATTTAGCCATGTAAGTGGGTTAAAGTAAGTTCTTCTAGTTGCTGAGAAAAAGTGTTCGGAAAGAAAGAAAGAAAGAAAAATAATAATAATAATAACTAGACATGTAAATTGAACAAGTTCAATTTAAGACTCCAGATTGATTTACTTGAGTAAAGAGCTGAGTAAGTAACTGAGTAGGAAGCTGAGTACGTAGATGATTAAGTAATTGAGTAAGTAGCTGAGTAGGTAGCTGAGTAAGCAGCTGAGTAGGTAGCTGAGTAAGTAGCTGAGTAGGTAGCCAAGTAGCTGAGAAGTAGGTAGCTAAGTAGGTAGCCAAGTAGGTATGTAGGTAGGTAGGTAAGTAGGAATTTTTGACCGGAAGTCGGATTGAAATTTGGTTTGCAGATTCGGATTCCTGGGAAAATTTTAGCTTTAATTCATAACTCATAAGGGATATTTTGAGAATTTTTTATTTTGACCTATTTTTAGGACACCATATCTCAAAAGTGGGTCAAAATACTTTGTGACGGCAAAAGGCTAACACTATAAGCACACTCTTTGCTACGTGTATACAAAATTTCGAAGTAAATCATTAAAGTGTAATGTCAGAATCGCAAAAATAAGGAAAAACTATGAATTTGACCTAGATTTTGACCTAGGCATTTTGGTGTCCAAATTTTAAAGCTAGATAGGCTTCGGGGTCCCCTTCTTTCATAGGCTTTCAGAATGTTAAGCTGTATTTAGTCTATATCTTGTATTTTACACTTCAAAAAAATCTTTTTTCTCATTGACATAACATGGGGCACCAAATTTAGCGATTTTCGAGCCATTACTTTGGAACCGATAGTCGGATTGAAATTTGGTTTGCAGATTCGGTTTCCTGAGAAAATTCTACCCCTAATTCATAACTCATACGTTAAATTTGGCGAATTTTTATTTTGACCTACTTTTCGGACACGCCATAACTTTAGAATCGGAAGTCGGATCGAAATTTGGTTTGCAGATTATGATTCCTGAGAAAATTCTACTCTTAATTCATAACTCATATGTTAAATTTGGAGAACTTTTTATTTTGACCTACTTTTCGGACACCATATCTCAAAAGTGGGTCAAAATACTCTCTGACGGCAAAAGGCTTACACTATTAGCACACTCTTTGCTACCTGTATATAAAATTTTGAAGAAAATTATTAAAGTGTAGTGTCAGAATCATAAAAATAAGGAAAAACTATGAATTTGACCTAGATTTTGACCTAGGCATTTTTGTGTCCAAATTTTGAAGCTATGTAGCTTTTGAGGTCCCCTTCTTTTACAAAAGTTCATTATGTTGAGCTGTACCCAGTCTATATCTTGTACTTTACACTTCGAAAAAGTCTTTTTTCCCATTGACTTAACATGGGGCACCAAATTTAGCGATTTTTGAGATTTCAAAACGCCATAACATCCGAACCGGCAGTCGGATCGAAATTTGGTTTGCAGATTCAGATTCCTCAGAAAATTCTACCCTTAATTCATAGCTCATACGTTAAATTTGAAGAACTTTTTATTTTGACCTACTTTTCGGACACCATATCTCAAAAGTGGGTCAAAATACTTTCTGACGGCAAAAGGCTAACACTATTAGCACACTCTTTGCTACCTGTATACAAAATTTTGAAGTAAATTATTAAAGTGTAGTGTCAGAATCGTTAAAATAAGGAAAAACTATGAATTTGACCTAGATTTTGACCTAGGCATTTTGGTGTCCAAATTTTGAAGCTATGTAGCTTTTGAGGTTCCCTTCTTTTATAAGCATTCATTATATTAAGCTGTACTCAGTCTATATCTTGTATTTTACACTTCGAAAAAGTTTTTTTTCCCATTGACTTAACATAGGCACCAAATTTAGCGATTTTTGAGCTTTCAAAACGCCATAACTTCCGAACCGAAAGTCGGATCGGAATTTGGTTTGCAGATTCGGATTCCTGAGAAAATTCTACTCTTAATTCATAACTCATACGTTAAATTTGGAGAACTTTTTATTTTGACCTACTTTTCGGACACCATATCTCAAAAGTGGGTCAAAATACTTTCTGACGGCAAAAGGCTAACACTATTAGCACACTCTTTGCTATCTGTATACAAAATTTTGTAGCAAATTATTAAAGTGTAGTGTCAGAATCGTAAAAATAAGGAAAACTATAAATTTGACCTAGATTTTGACCTTTGACCTAGATAAAAATTTAACCTAATTTCCCAGAAACTAGATCTCATCATCTTACTGACCCTGTAAGTAGATTTGGGTAAGGTCTTCTAGTTGCTGAGAAAACTGGTTCGGAAAGAATAATAATAATAATAATAAAACTGGCAAAAGCAATAGACTCCAGATTTTCAATCTGGAGTCTAATAAGAAAACTGGCAAAAGCAATAGACTCCAGATTTTCATCTGGAGTCTAATAAGAAGAAAACTGGCAAAAGCAATAGACTCCAGATGAAATCTGGAGTCTAATAAGAAAACAGGCAAAAACAATAGACTCCAGATTGAATAAGAAAACAGGCAAAAACAATAGACTCCAGATTTTCAATCTGGAGTCTAATAATCATATTCTGTAAATATAGATTGTATTTGGTATGTAGTCAATGGAATTTATTGTACTTTACTTTTAGATAGCAAATACTTCAGAAAGAAGTGGAAATCTCCCTTATATGCATTCTATATTCATTTACTTCCATGAGTGTATAATTATAATTTATTCATATAGTAACAGGAACAACAACAGTAGATACTACCCATACGACAAGAGAGACTCGTTTTACAGTGGCTACAAGAGAAACTCCTACTACAGTGGCTGATAGAATTACAACACAAGCATCCAATACGACGGCGCCAACAACACTCTGTCCAATCTGTCCAACAAGTTAGTCTTATTTTCAACCATATTTTTTTAATTGATAAGAGAGTTAATGTACACTCCCCTCCATAAGTTTGGCAACCTTTGCTTCCTCATTGAACTACGCGTTCAAGCCTCTTTACGTTTTAATTTATTTACTTAACCTGCGATGAAAACACTTATACTAAAAATACCTTAAATTTTTTTCCTCAATTACAATAGATCGAAAATTGATGATAAATTTGAAGAATTTTTGAAAATCGACATTCCCTTAACCAATGGGAAGTAGTAGGTTTGCAGCAAGTTATATGACAGAATACCCATCCATCCTAGTCCTTGCAAAAATACAAGTTGAGTAGGCGATTGCATTTGCTAACTTAATTCAACAAAAAAATTGATACGTTTCTTCAGGTTTAACAAAGTCGTAGGTCTTTAAAGTCGAAATTGTTTTTCAAAAAACCTCTCCCATTGAAATAACACAGGAGGCGAAAAATGATTTTCAAAAATGACTCTGAAGCTCTGTAACTTTAGTATTCATCAAGTAAACTAAACACTTAGTGTACAAAAAAGTTAGACAATTCAATTTTCTATATAAACATATTTTTGCTGAATCTTTTTTGGTTTCCATGAGAATGACGATTTTAAACATCCATCAAATTTATCATCGATTTTCGACCTTTTGTAATTGAGGAAAAAAATGAGAAAATTTGGAGGTATTGGATAAAAAGCCAAATTACGTTTCTATCAACATAATAAGTATTTTCACCGCGGGTTAAGAAAATAAAAATTCAAAGGTAAAGAGGCTTTAACACGTAGTTCAATGGGGGAGCAAAGGTTGCCAAACTTATGGAGGGGAGTGTATCATTGGAAGCAACAACTATGAAAATATGAATGATGTAAACAAGTATAGATATTATTTTCTCGCCTTTCAAATACCAAATTTTATTGCTCACTCAATTTTATTTTTCAAAATCCCGATTTTTATCCCGATTTCAAGGAAATACCCCGATTCCTTCGTAAAAAATCTAGATCTTTTTCAAAAAATATCCCGATATTGCGTTCAAAACTCCGGATTTGTTACGGTGGCACCCTATTTATCAGTAAAAACTCCAGATACCCTCCCGCTTTTCGTTCAAATCGTTCAATCATATTTTATTGACTTAGAAAGAGGAATACAAAAAATTGTATCATTTAACCCTAATGTCTGCATGAGTTGACCCCTTCTCGATTTTTCCTTAACTTGTACTTTTGCATGTATTTCGGTGCATCCTTTATTTCTCTAGCTTGAGCCACAGATAAATGACGCAATTTGGCGTAAAGGTGATATTAAAGGTGATTGGGGATAGAAGGACGGAATTATCCAAGTCAAAGGTTGATGCCAATTTGATAAAATCCATGAAGAAGACAAAATCAAGTTGACCAGAAGTGTAGATTCTATTTGGAAATATAGAATGTTTGATCCCAAAAATTGCTTTGAACAAAAAAATACAAATTAATCAAAACATTTCGTTGCTCTCGATTTGACCTTTGTTGCACTTCTTTTTGTAAAACCGATACTTTGTTGGGAGGGGTAATTGAATACCAACATCATAAAAATCAGACGGCTGGCTTTAAATTGCAAAAGGGTCAACAAGCGATTATAACTATGTTATAAAAGGGTTGCAGACATTAGAGTTAAAGCTTATCGCATCCTACGACCCCTTTAGATTGTGGTCGTACGCCGGTATCATTGGTAAGCCTGTCTTTCTACAATGTCGGAGAATGAACTACGCATTGCACTATTAAATGACCTACCTCGATACATTCCAGAGTATTTTAGAATTCTTTTTATGTTGTTAGATCGCCAATTGTATGGGTTTATCGGCAGAACGAAGATATTTTAGTTTTTACATCGGAAATATATCAGCAATTTTCAAAATGTCGGAAGGGGAATTCCCAGGGATTTCCCTTATGACTGGTGCATGTCGGGAACTGAATGGAGGAATTTGACGGTTGAAATAAGTTAATATTACACACAAATATTGCTATCAAAAACGAAAACCTCTTCGTTCTGCCGATAAACCCATACAATTGTGGATTCAACTACGCAAAAAGAATGCTAAAATACCAAGGAATCTATTCTAAAAATAGATATCTTAAGTGTAAGTAGCGTAGAAAATTCTCCCATGTTGTAATCGTACAGACAAAAGAATAAGACGTTCGCAAGACTAGAACGTAGATAGTCTTGGAACGAGATAAAGTTAAAGCAACAACATTGCGCAACAATGAAAATATGAATAATGTAAACACTTAGGGATATTCTTATTGCGTCGGGTCATAGTCTTGGATAATGTCTATCTGTTTTTTTTGTTTTTTTTAACTAGCTATGCTGACATAATTTTCATTTTATCATTTTTACATATTGTACCTTTTGGCACATATGTATGCATATTTTATTTGATTACAGGTGGCTCTGGTGGCATTTCAATTGGAGGAGTAGTTTGCACACTGATGGTGATTGGGATTATCTGTGTTCTTGAATTCATTGCATGAGAAATTGAAAATGGGATTCAAAATGAATTAAGCCTCGACACAACTCTTGACACTTAGATTATTTAGACGTTTTTAGCATTGATACGTATCAATGCAAGATCAATCTAACCAAGATTATACAGGAAAATTAGTGTGGAGGAAGCATTCTTATTAGGTTTCTGTCAATAGTGCAAATTGCCAGTGGCCTCGTTTAAAATAGATATATAGCCTAGCCAATAATAATTTTGACATAGGAATAAAATTTTGACATTATAACTTAAAAATTATGTGGTCTAGACTCACTTTCGCCAAGGTCGGTGTCCATTTCGATGCTTTGAAAACACGTTAACATCGCCCAATCTTTAATGTACAGGCTTCTTACCTTCAGCCTAACTTGAAAGTCTTACTTCTTTACGGAATATATGCATATTATAAGCTTATAGTTAACTTAGCATTACGTTGACACTAGAAGTGCAACAATTTTTGCTAATTGTACTCATCTGTATTGGGATTTTATTTTGAAATGCTTGCCTTATCAAACATTGTTTGTTGCAGGTTTAGTGAATGTTTTATAGTTTACAGCATGCTAAGACTGGTTTTGTCATACGTTAACACCAAATAATGTAATGTACATTATTTGCTGATCAATTATGGTCGCAATGAAGAAATATATATAAAATATATATAAATATATAATACACATTTGGTCATTAAGACGAGCCCGATCTTGGGAAAGTAAAACCATTAAACTATTAAGTAACCATGGATTTAACCAGCTTATAACACCAGATGAAGTTATAAATACAAAGGAGGAACTGAATGATCTACACAAGGCATTACTGAAAAATGATCATGTAATATGGCACCAACAAATGTGGAATGATGGTAGGAACGTTAACGGCAATAAATTGAGGATGTACAGAATTCATAAATCCCATGCCATTGGCCCTGAGGCTTATGTGAATGCTAACCTCACCCGCCATGAAAGACGTGCCATTGCTAAACTACGAAGTGGCACTTTACCGTTAAAATTAGAAACGGGGCGTTATATCAATATGCCTCTTGAGGAGCGCCTCTGTCATTGCGGTAATGCTGTCGAAACAGAACTGCATTTTCTGATAGAATGCCCTTTATACCAGCTCGAGAGGAGTGAGCTTATGGATAGTGCAAGGACAATATTTGGCGAGGACTTTGAAACATCTAACCTTGCAAAATATTGTTTAATAATGAACTGTGAACTCCTTCAACGTCGTTTGGGAAAGACAATTATTAAACTATGTATTAAAAGACGATCATTTTAACTTATTTAAAAACTTTGGTCTTAAAAGTGATTATTGTACACCATAGTGTCTCATATGCCGACACCGGCAGGGCCAGTGATTTTATGTAGTTTTTAATAATATGTAATTTTATATATTGGCGTGACACTTAAATAAATAAATACATACATACATACATACATACATATAACAGTCTATCAAATATGTAATATAATAGAATGAAGTCCGGTAACTTAGAACACTATTTTAAATAATGTTCATTACATACCATGGACGTTGATCAGTTATATTATATGTTTATTCAACTTTCGTATTCTTGTACTTTGTCAGAAAATATTTTTAAAACTTTTGATCTATAAATAGATATGACGTCATGTCCTTATGCGGCGACTTGGCCCAAAAAGGAAGAAATTTTGTGCTTAAAGCTCAATATCTACGATTTGCAATCGATTCTGGCCATGTTAATGCTTAAAGTATTGAGACTCAACTGAAGTTAAAAAAATAAGGTCAAATATGTACCAGCTGAATGATTTTGACCAAATAAAAACCAGAGACGAAAACTGAAGCAAAAAGAGTTACTGCACTTTCAGTCTAATAACTTAATTATGAATAATAGTGTTCACTGTGGATTTTATTCATTCTGTAACGTTAGCTATAAAATGAGACTTCCGGTTGCAAAATGTATGTAAGGGAGTGTAACTGTATATATTCTGTTTTATTGCAATATAATTTCTTCCTGTTGGCTTTTGAATTAACAACTCAGTTAGTAAAGTGTGTGTGTATTTTATGTAGCCCTATACATTTCTATATTTTTTATTCGTCGGACGTTTAACCTCTTGAATACCAGCCTCTAAAAAGGGTTTGAAACCAGAGCATTTTTCATTTTCTGCTAGTTTTCTGGATATTTACATCAAAAAAACACTATGTTTGATATTTGATTTCATAAGAATTGTAAACATAGACCCATTACATACATTCTAAAACATAAATTGTGAAGATTGGATAAAAAATGCCAAAGTTAGAGCAGTTTTAGTGAAAAATTCTGTGACAGATATATCTGTCGCTCTGGGTTCCAAATGGATTTTATTTGTGACAGATATATCCGTCATTCTGGGTATTCAAGAGGTTAATTAAATATGAACCATGTGTAATGACTAAACTAACATGATATCCTGGTATTACGTACTCTCTGCACATGGATGTACTGTATGTTAGATGGATGTTTTGCTTTATAACAATTGTTCCATGATTTTCAAGTTTTATGTCACCAACAGATGTTGTAATAATCTCCATTTTTGTGAACAGTGTTGGTCGCACATTGAAATCACGCTTTCCGTTGATATAATTTACATGTATCTATGAACAAATACTATTGCTATCTCCGTATGCCTGTGATTTTATTATGCTTTTGATACAGAAAGCCCCTGAGGCCAAGTTACGTTAATAATGTGCCCCTCCCCCCCCCCGATGGTAATGGTAATGCAAAGCGTATATGTAAATTTGTAGTGTACACAAACTTACACATGCATAATGCTGATAAAGATGAGCGAATGGGAGATGTAACACAAGAAACTTTATTTCAATTCATTTTATAACTGTATTAGAAGGCCTCAGGGTAGCCTCTTCGTTATTTCAATTGCATAGTTTCTATATAGCTGAATAAAGCTGCAATAATAAATGTCACCCTTGTCATTCTTCATTTTGCTTGGGCCAGACTGCCATAGCCTCCCTTGTTATAAACTTGCAACAGTCAATCAATGATTTTGAAAAAGTGTTGGTTGAATCTGTCTAAAACTCAAATGGTATACTTTGGAATAACCCTTCAATGTACATATTGTGATTAATCATGGACATTTTTGGTGATGAAAAGAATAAACCAAGGTTTTATAGAATATTAGCATTGCGTCTATGAGGATCTGGTCCCAAGTTTTTTTTGAAAAAGTCATTGAAAATGATTTAAATGATATAACTGTATAAATCAAAGTTATCATTGATGAAAACTTTTCACTGAATTCATATATGCTATTAAAAATAAAGAAAAGTTAGTCGCTAGAGGTTAAAAGTGCAAATCTCTTGAAATCTCATGAAAATTAGCGAGATTTCAAAGCCATATGGAAACTCCTCTATTGGGGAAGCACTGGTCATGTTGACGCATGGACCACATACGCGTTTTTCAATTAAATAGCTTTATATACAATTATTCTATAATCTTTGGATAGTTAGCTGATAGTTATGGCATAATCTTGTAGTTCAGTGAGTACTCATGAATAAATATTGCAACATTATGTAATTTCGCTTGAAGTAATCATTCTTGTTTGTTCATTGTTTTATTAACGCAATTTATTATGGTAACCATGGAAATCATAATGCACTTGTTAACCAGAAAATAAACAGAAAATATGAATGGTGAAACCCATTTAGGTTCAGGGAAACCTCAATGAATCGACCCGATGAAATCGAAAAAGACACTAACCAGACACATCTTGGAGCTGTGAATAAAGCATTGAATCCATTTTATTTGTAGATTTGTAGAATATTTTGTGGTTCTATCCTATATCTTATGATGTTATCAACTTGTACAGACAAATCCAAAGTTGCTGCCTTCCGGCATCGGCATTGCAGTCCAACTCAAAGCATGATGAATACTTTGTCAACGTCAATTACCACTTCGGTACTTTCATTTAATTTATGCAGTGGAAAATCAAATATAATATTCTATGTTCGGGCAATACATGTTCATCATCTTTCAATGATTCTCGCAACTTATGTATTCAGTAGCCGCAGCCCGTATCATAAATCAAGCGTGAAATACATATTAACATGAAGTTTTCATATGTCACGATTATAATAGTACAATAACGTCATTTCTAAGGGCCCTCGGTCCAATATTTCACTATATTGCTCGCAGAAATGACGTTATTAGTATTATTACCACCGATAACGACCAGGACTGAAACAGCAAGAAAATCTTACGCAATGAACGATATCTAATTTCCCGGAAAAAATTGCCGGTCCAGAATATATTCTAGACCGGTCCATATGGACCACCACTATGACGTCACACATTTCTCAGGTCAATATAGTAAAATGAATGCCTTCTCAACTAGCACTAAAACCCCTAGAACTGGCCAGGTGTGAAAGAAATTATGGTCCCCTGGGGATTATGGTCCCCTTTCTAATCGGCCCTTACTGGCCCTGATTGTGTATAAGATAATAAGGGAAAGAGTTGTTTTTAGGTCACCATATAAATCAATGGAAAGTAGGACCATAATTTGATAGGACCAGCTACCCTTTTACACCGGCAAGGTGGTAATAATATACTATTTTTAAAATACTGAGCGTTCAGTAATGCCTTGGTCACATAGGCTCCGATTTTCACTACGGCGCCCGGCCGATGAGTATTTTGTTCAAAATCGGCCGGCGAGCCGGGCATCGTACGGGCGCCGGGCGATGATCGCCACTCATCGGCCGATTTTTAGACATCGAACGGACGCCGGCAGAGTTTTATCGCGGAGATAAAAGTTGCCGATGTCTTGGCGATTTTTTCACAACCAACCTCATCGGTACCTACCCGGCCGTGTCCCGTCCGGTCATCGTACGATTATCTTACGGCGCCTGGTGGCATCGCACGGTCATCTTGGGATTTTGCGTGCTGATTTGTTTGATAAATCTTAATAATGATTGCTTATAAAGTGATATAAAGGTTCTAAAAATAATGAGGTAAGGAATTATAATTACTACACACTGTCAGAGATTTTTTATAAAACATAAATGGAACGATTAGGCTTACTGTAAAACAATGACACACATTTGAATGGCTGGGTGGGTGGGTTGATCTAGTCGTTCTTATATTGACATTAATCGTGTATGTCTGTCATACACATTGAATAGAGTGATACATTTTTATACGTATATTCACTCATGCATATACCATTACAAATCATTTATTTTAAAAATCTTCTGACTGATTTTGTGAGTACAGTATTTTGAAGGGTCACAATTTTAATACGAAGTTCACTGTCTCAATAATTACAGTTAAAATGCCAAAGGCTAAGGATAGCGGGGATACGGCAAATGGGCCATAAATGAGGAAGGCCTTGGGAAGACAGGTGGAAAAAGACAATAACAATGCAAGTGAGCTAGCGGATGATGGAGATTTAGATGTGTCTAGGGAAGAGGTACTCCACTTGAAATAGAAGAAAAAATTGCCAATTTCTTTGAAGATAGGACATATTTTTATGATCAAACAAATTCTCTTTTCGAGAACAGACAAAAGAAAGATGCAGAAATATGGAATTTTGCTAATAGTATCGGATGGACAGGTAGACATAGTATCTGTTTATATGAAAGATCTAAAAATTAGGTCAGGGTGCACTTGAAAAGACCACGTGCAGTATGGCAATTAAGTGATTTTAGACGGTCATAACTTTCACCATAAGTACTTTCTGGGCATAAATACAGTGTTTTTATTAAAACAATGTGCTTTCTCTCAATAGGATTACCCATGATAGTACTGAAAAATATCAATCAAACAATTTGAAAAATTATGAATAGGGACCCCATGTCAGCATTTTTTCTAAATATTGATCCTATTTACTCGAAAAGAGGATCTTCCTTTTTTGAAGTCCTGGAAGTCCTGTCTATCGAAGTATTTCGTTTTCGAATCTTGCATTCACGCCATGTGGAACAGTCATACCGGGCCATACAAGAATTTAGTATAAATCTAGAGGCCTGTAGATCGACCGATGTCCTGGCGGGTGCCGTACGGCCATCGGCAGATAGACTTGCGATACCCGTGCGACGTCTTTCAGATTCAATTGATTGCGGGCGCCGTACGATGCCTTTACTAATGTGACCATACTCACGATTAGATCAAGACATCGGTGAAAAGTCACCGGCGCCCGGTCGATTTAGAAATCGGCCGATGACTACTCATCGGCCGGCGCCCGGCGGCTATGTGACCTAGGCATAAGTAAAGCTAATTTTGCTCTCAAACAGTGTAACATAATACCATAGTGAGTAGATACTAATATAAAACTGTACTAAACATTTATCAACGATTGTGTGTTATTGTTGATCACATAAAGTCACATCTTCTATGAAAAATGGTGAATCTTGGACACATGAACAATGTACCATTGTCAGTACTAGCTTAAACATTTGAATAGTAAAATATGCCTCTCTATAAGTTTCTGTAAGTATTTTTTGTGTCAATACCTTAATATTATCATACTTTTCTAGCATTTTAAAAAAATTGCAAAATATTTTGGCACACCCTGTAGATGTTGCACGCGATCTTCACACACTTGCGTGCAACATGTTTTCAGTAGTACAACAGGTCAGCTTGAGAGTTTTATGTTTAGGTGTGAACGTTTATACTCATATTTGATGAATAGTATATCTACAGGAGAACTATTTTAAAGATGAAATGGAATGTTAACTTGATGGCAGAAATGTTGAGCAGCCAAGGAACTATGATCAAAACATAGACAGGACAGAAACTAATGTTAACAAAAGGAGGATTGAAATTAGTGCAACATATTTTCGTCAGTCATATGTTTGATTTTAACCATTTCCTGGGGATTTAAACAGGTTCATATGTTAGGCTAACGCCTCCAGGAAAATCACTTCTAGAGATGATAAAATGATTTCGACTTTGAGACAGGGTAGATGCAAACAAACCACCCACATGTTTTTTTAAATGTTTTCCTGATTTTCAACCCCTTTCCTCCCTGCTTTTTTAATTTTTCTTGCATCAATACGTTAAAAGGAATAAATGATTCCTTTTAGATAAAGTGGAAAACAATATCTCCCATGTTATTTTCCCATAGGGAAAAATCATTGCTTTCAGCTAAGTTTGGTCATCCATAATGGGTATCTTTAAAACCCCTGAAGGAATCACTTATTCCTTTAAAGTGGTTAACTATGTGTCAAAACGCAACATATTGATGCAAGAAAAATTAAAAAAGCAGGGATGTAAGGGGTCGAAAATTAGGAAAATATTTCAGAAAAACAAGTGGGTGGGTTGTTTGCATCTACCCTGTCTCAGAGTCGAAATTATTTTAGCATCGCTAGAAATGATTTTCCTTGAGGTAATGCATTGGTCTAACATATCCAATTGTTTAAATCCTCAGAAAATGGCCAAAATCCAAAATATGACTGTCCAAAATCTGTTGCACTAATTTCCCTCCTCCTTTTGTTAAAATTGGTTTCTGTCCTGTCTATGTTTTGATCATAGTTCTTTGGCTGCTCAACATTTCAACAGATCTTTGAATATCAATGGTACATTGTTCATGTGTCCAAGATTCACCATTTTTCATAGAAAATGTGACTTTCTATGACTTTTTGTGATCAACAATAACACACAATCGTTGATAAATGTTTAGTACAGTTTTATATTAGTATCTACTCACTATGGTATTATGTTACACTGTATCTATTAATCATTTATTGAAAATGTCCCATGCATCCTTTCACCGTCACTATCACACAGACATGAGGATGGAACTGCAGTGACGCGATCCAGCGATTTGTGTAGTCCATTTCCCCTGCAGAACTTCTTTTAGTTGATCAATAGTTTGCGTGAGGATTACCATTAACTGCAATAAACTGCTCCGGGTGCCCTCATGTGCCACAGGTGTTGGCATCTGGTGCATTGGGCGTCCATTCACCAGGACTAATAAATCTAGAGGTATCATCCTCCAGATATTCAAAAGTGACCCTTGCCCTACGGCTGTGAGCGATAGATAAGGTGAAAGACGGATGAAAGTAAGAACATTTGATTAATAAATAATTAATAGACGCAGTATAACATTATACCATAGTGAGAAGATACTAACATAAAACTATACTAGACATTAGTTAAACATTTATTAACGATTGTAGCAGATTTAGTGAACACAATGAATGTGTAATTGTTGATCACATGAAATCATAAGAAGTCATATTTTCTTGGAAAAGCAGTAAATCCCGGACACATAAACAATTTAACAGTGAAATTCAAAGATCTGCCAAAAAATTGAAGTCAGTATTAGCTTAAATATTTGAATGGTAAAATATGCCTTTCCTAAAGTTTCCGTAAATAAATCTTTATGTGATACTTTTCTAGCCTTTCAGAAAAGTTGCAAAATTTTTTGCCACACCCTGTATTACAGTCCCGTCGTTCCACTGAAAAAACGAATTTTACTAGTGTTAAAACATTTCAATTTACAATTAAAAGACCACTCCCTGTCTATTCAAATATCGACCTTCGATTTACTTATATTTATTAATGATCGATATCTTATACGTATCTAGAATTGGTTCCAAAGAATAAGTGTTGAACAAGGAGGGTAAATCGTATTTACTCTTACATATGTGAACAGTTCAAAACACGATGTAAAAACTGTTACAAAATGTATAGTGATATTGGATATATCAGAACTTGGATCTTATTCTTCACCTTAATGAGCTCGTATAGGCTTACAGGTTAGTAAAATTATGTTGCAACGCAGGCGTAAAATGAAGCATTATTAATCTTAATTTTAATCCATATAACCTACTTTTACGTAAATAGATCAAGTTTATTAATGCGATGTATCTAACATTAAATCAACCAAGTAGACATGTTTACACTAATCTTCTATTTTAATGAAACTTGTCTTGTATTTGTGACATTACAATATGACTTGTATTCATGTAATGATTAGTATTTCCAGGAGCCCAAGATATACCAGCAGACAGTGCAGCTAGAGTAGGCACTGATGTCACGTTTAATTGTAAAGACCAGGGCTACACATATGTCCAATGGGTAGAGTATGCCTCTCAAGGTGATACAGGTATCACTGTATGGTACACCGGTGGACAGGTTTCAAATCCTGCCAAGTATGAGGTCGATTCTACAAGTGCCAAGAAATATAGGCTTACTGTTAAAAATGTGCAGTTAACAGATGCCGGAAAGTATGAGTGTCGGACAATACCTTCAGCTGGACCTGCAAAAGATTATCCAGCACAATTGACTGTAATAGGTGAGCAGTAATCATGTTTAAGGTATACATAATAATAACTTCTGAGACCTGATAATTAGTATGCAATGTCACTCAAAATTGAGACTTCTGATTGGGTAAGGAGGCAAAGGCTCGCGGGTTGCCCGGAGCAACAGGGCAAAATCAAACAATGACCTTAATTCACGTGATTTTTTCGAAAAATCATCCGACTCTTTGGCCATTTAAGGAGTGTCAATTTCTGGATTGCTAAGTGTAAGCTCCACCTTTTTGCCTATTTATGGAGAATGCTTTTTTCAAGAGTGAACAGCTCGGTCTAGAAATTTTGTATACTGAAAAGATGTATGTGAACTTTGTACCACTACTTTTACATCTAATCTGTGATAATATACACCATTGCTCTTTTTATTTAATAGCATATTAAAACTTGGAACATCAGAGGGCTTTTAATTAGTTAAACACGTGATTTTTATTATGTCAGCACCAAAAAGTGGTGACATATTGTTTAGGTCTCATTTTTGCGGCGGGTGGCGATAGGTGGGTGACGGTTGGCGATCGGCGGGTGGCGGTTGGTGGTTGGCGTCTGTAACAAATTCTTACAACTTCCAATAACTTAAAAATTACTGTTTAAAACTTACAACATTTTTTCAGAATCATCTACAAGTTTTCAGATGTTCAAATCTGATTCTAAATTTAATATTTGACCTTCAATGACCTTCTCAATATCAAAAAAGTTTAAAAGGGTCAAAAAAGTATTTTTTCGACCTGCTTCAGGTCGATTTTATCAACATGCATCAAACTGACTGCTTTTTCAAAAAATTGGGATTTGACCTTTAATGACCTTCTCAAGGTAAAAAAAAGTCAAAACGGTATTATATCGACTTGCATCAAATTGACTGCTTTTTCAAAATCATCTACAAGTCTTAGAAGTTCAAATCTGACTTTAGTTTTGAGATGTGACCTTCAATGACCTTCTCAAGGTGAAAAAGATATTTTTCAACTTGCTTCAAATCAACCGATTGCTATTTATTTTCAAAATCATCTGCAAGTTCTCATAAATTTAAATCTGACTTAAGATTGAACTTATACTATTGTGAGTAACTAGGTGGTGACATTTTGTCATGTTAATGCCTTGTCAAAACATAGAACATACTTAATATGCTTTTAAATTAATTATACACATCGTTTTTATTACGGATTACGTTTAGGATTAGGTCTTCACATTTAGGTACCCCTTCATGTCCAAATAAGAACGGTCGGCTCGTGGCAAACATCGAAAATCCGAGTCAGAGTGACAAAGCTGAACTTGTGTGTAATCTCGATTTCCGCGGCGTCAATCCAGCATCTTTGAAATGGTACGACAACATCGGTACCCTGCTTCCATCTTACTCAAGTGGGGGCGCAAACTCCTCCCTCCTCACTGTCAACACAAGTTTTCCTGTAACGCCGACGTATCATGGAAAAGCTTTTGAATGTCGCGTAACAGTGCAGAATATTCTAGACTTTCAAGAGAGTTGTTTCTCTTCACCTACGTTTGATATAGTGTGTGAGTATTATTTGTATTCTACAAGACGAGATTGTTAATCTAACAATTAATCATGCTATAAATGAGTTGCGAAATTTATAATATTTTACTTCTTTTGCCTTAATCTACTGACAAGATGAAACACTGCGAAATTTTGTGGGCATTTTGGCAGAAATTATATGCACCATTGGTCAGGGTTGACAATATGTCTACTTCAATTGGGTTTTGTGTCAGTAAAACCTAAAAAGAATAAGCAAACTAAAGACAATATAGCAGTATTATACATGTATTGAAAATAAATACCGTACATATTTATACCAAACGTGTTTCTATATTCTGGATAAATTAGTTTTGTGTGCAATAAATATCTGTTTTTTGTAATTTAGGATCGCCCATGTTTATTCTTTTGTAAAAACAATGGTCAGAATATATATCAAAATACAATCGACGACACAATGTACTATCCAAACCACTATTGCCTAATATGGCTGACGAAGTCCAAAGTCGATAATAATATAATATATTATATTATTATTAAGTAGACCGTGTTACGTGTACAAAAATACGAATAGTATTTTAGTGTATGTCATAGAAAATGGTGACCTTTATGCTGGAAATATAGATTGTATTTGGCATGTAGTCAATAGTCTGTACTTTACTTTTAGATAGCAAATACTTTAGAAAGAAGTTGAAATCTCCCTAATATGCATTTCTATATTCATTTACTTCCATGAGTGAATAAGCTGTGATATATTCATATGGCAACAGGAACAACAACAGTAGATGCATGTGCTACAAATACGACAATTGTGAATCTCGTTTTACAGGGGCTGATAGAATTACAACACAAGCATCCATTACGACGGCGCCAACAACACTCTGTACAATCTGTCCAATCTGTCCAACAAGTTGGTCTTATTTTCAACCACATTTCCTAAATTGATAAGAAAGCCAATCTATCATTGGAAGCAACAATGAAACATGATGAACAATTATGAAAATATGAATGATGTAAACAAGTAGAGATATTATTTTCATGTCCCGATTTTTTTTATTGCTGACCCCATTTTATTTTTCAAAATCCCGATTTTAAGGAAATATCCCAATATTTTCGTAAGATATCCAGATCTTTTTCATAAATACCCCGATATGTTACTGCGACACCCGATTTTTGAGTAAAAACTCCAGTTTTTCAAATGATACCCTCCCGATTTCGTTCAAAACTATCGATTCTTTAATGAGACGTCCTCGCAAAAAAATGAAAGTATACGATATGTTTAGTGATAAAACAAAATGCAGTAGCTTACTACACATACAATATACACTTGTAAAGCTCTGACTTCCATCTCTAAAAATGAATCGAACTTCTTGGACTGAGAAATTCCAAACAATTGAAACGCATATCTATGGGAGACATTACTATAAAAATTGGAACGTGGTGAAAACAAATATGCAAAAAGCATTTCTGTGAAAGAACAGAATAGCTAACTACACATCCAACATACCGTTTGCTTATGTAATAGTACAATAACGTCATTTCTAAGGGCAATATAGTGAAATATTGGACCGAGGGCCGAAGGCCCAAGGTCCAATATTTCACTATATTGCTCGCAGAAATGACGTTATTAGTATTATTACCACCGTCAACGACCAGGACTGAAACAGCAAGAAAATCTTACGCATTGTACGTTCCCGGGGAAAATTGCCGGTCCAGAATATATTCTAGACCGGTCCATATGGACCACCACTATGACGTCACACATTTCTCAGGTCGATAAAGTAAAATGAACGCCTTCTAAACTTGCACTAAAACCCCTAGAACTGGCCCCGCAAGGTGGTAATAATATTCTTTAAACTATTTGTAATTATAAGAATTTGATTTAATCGATCGTTCTGGACTTTGACTGTTCTTTGACTTCATGTAACATAAACACGTATCTATGCGATTTCAATCGGGTTTGCTTTATCAGAAAGATAATTGATTATGTGAGGACTAGATGTAGATTACATTATCGGTCAAGCCAAGTAACTTAGTCAACATTCGATATTCGTATGTTCATCAGTATTAACTAAGAATGGTGCCACAATTGAAGTAAACCTCTGTTTAATTATTTTCAATAAACCTATCAGCAAACGTGTAAATGATAAATTTGATGTTCTGTTACATATTGGTGAAGCAGTCTTTGGGATATGGCCTATATTTCTGAATATCCACTATGTCCCTGTATACCCCTACTTAAACAGATGTATGTTATTTGTCATTTTTCATTATGAATCAACCATAAATGTATTTTTTCTTGTTTACATACAGAATGAACTTTTTGTTTCCAAATATTGAAAGATGGTACTGCATTTATTTTCTCATGATATGGAGGAAACAAATGCGTGTCAATTTACACTGTAATATTCCACATACTCATATTTCAAGGGTAGTTTTGAAGAATTATCAAGAAAATCCATGTTTTCTAATGAATTCATCCTTGTCAAAGAACGTAAATGAGGATATGCGGTTTAAAAAACTAACAACATGTTTTAAGTTCTTACAATTCTTGTTTAAAACAAACATTTCGAAAGTTGTGATTTCGAATGTAATATCCAACTCAATGAAATTTGTTGATATTTGTGAATTTTTTCTTTCGGAATGCACATTGCTGGATCACAGAACCTTGCCTTGTTCGAGATGCACAGAAAGGGTATTGTTAATACTTGACGTCGTTCGGATATTCGGATGTGATTGACGTTTTCGTTAATCTCCAACCACTGTAACTTCCAACTTAATTTTTGAAAGCCAAAAATGATAGTCACGAATCGACATTTAAGTCACACGTGGATGCATACATCATGTATCTACATTAACTGTCGAATACATGCCGACTTACATTTATTTAAATATACACAGTTAACTCAAATCATCAATTCTCGAAACGGTTTATAATATAACCTGACCTGAGTTTAATGTTTCATTTTAATTTATAATTATGGTATCGGATTTGAGTATGATTTTAGGTGAGGCTTAAAAAAGCAATAAAATTGCGTTAAACCTTTTGTGAAAATTCGAACGATTTTTCAAGAATCCTCCTTCAAAGTGTTACCACAGTGCTCCCCGGGAGTGGAAATTTCGTCTAGTGTAATCAAAATAATGGCGGGTGGTTTGAATTTTTGTTTGAGTTTATAGCTCAGCATCTATAAATTTAAAAACGTGTCGCCTCATTGAGAGGTACATGCAGATTTTGGCGATCTATCTTTATAAAAGGCTAAATTTTGTGCAAAAACAGGAGTTGACACGCTTACATTTGGAATTGAAATTTCCTACATAATTGTCGACTCATGTTTAAAGGTCATGAAAACAAGGTTGAACACAAAATAATAACCTAGTTACTGTCTATTTAGCATGAGATCACTGAGGGAAATATTATTAATGACTTAAATCGTTAATAGTTAAGTTGTATTCCAAGAAACTTATCAATTTAGAAATGCAAAATGTTCAATTTTGTTTTTCAATTATAAAAAATGGCACCTGTAGAGAACAACGTTTACAAAATTATTTAAAACGGAGATATTAACTTATGTAACATTCGTTGGCATGTGTCAGGGAGTAAATAAGAAGAATATGCATTTGATTCTATATCTCGTCCAAAAGGAGTTTGTTAAGGAGCGGTATATCTTAACGTACTTTTATCATCCCGAACTCAAATATTTCGAATCCTTATTTCGACAACGCTTTGTTGAGAATGGATTCAAGATGTACTCAAAATTAATACGTTAAAAGATGTATTATCATCTTAATAACCACCTCACAAATTATTTTGGAAATCAAAGATGTACGATTTTTGAGATTTTTATTTTCGAATGTTGACTTAGTTACTTGGCTTGACTGTATAATCATTTCTGATATTTAACTATTGCAAGTGAGATGTGCTGTGAGGTCCAAATGGATACGGAAAGCCATGATAAAGCTAGCTTAAATTGTTGTGAGCGTGTATTCACAGTAATTAATCATGATGTGTTACTTTGTTTAATGCAGATGATATCTCATGTTTACCCTACTATCACACCAAACTAGTTCTCACTACGTTCTCGAAAACGGGCTTCAACTGTGTACGAACGAACTGGACCTACTAAGAACCGTTTGGGATCTATTTACAAACTTCATCGAACGTACTCGAATGGGTAGGTCCTCTAGAACTTAGACAATGCTCAAAATGTTCTCGTGATCGTCACGTTCTACAATTAGAACGAGTGACAACGTACTAAAGACGAGCTGGACGTACTACGAACGGAACCGTCGTACTTCAATCCTACTAGGGACGTTTTAACAACAAGTTGAACTGTCTGAGGACGTGTTGAGAACGAGGTAGAACTAATTGCAAACGGGTTTAAACTGATTAAGAACGTATTTAACACTGCTTATGCACGAGTTAGCAAACCTATAGCTATCACACCAAACAAGTTGCCACTGCGTTCTTCAAAACTGGTTTTTAAACTGTGTGCGAACGGAATGAACGTAGCTGCAACTTTCTAAGGTCTATTTACAAACTTTATGAACGTTCTCAGACGGGAATGTGATTTTAGAATTTTGAATCGATTCAAAATTCGATGGCGACCATACCGTTCTGTAATCAGGTCATGTTGACCTTCTAGACAAGGGGACGCGTTCTACGACGTTGCACACCGACGTGGTGCGACCTGAACGAACTACGAACGAGATGGACGTATTGAAGACTGTTTAAGAACGAAGAAGCTAATTATTTCAGACATATTTCCCGACCACAGCCAGATTGAGCCCGTTTTACGACATTTTCGTAGGACTGGCAAGAACGGGTAAGAACTAGTTTGGTGTGATAGGGGGGTTAATAAACAAAGATAGTAATTTCCCAAATGCAATTCGAAAACGTATTTATCAAATTAGCTGATTTTTAGTAATCCCAATTTTCTTCCGATTGATTTTTAGTAATAGTAATCTTGATCTTCTACCGATTTTTGGAATATTTGATACAGTATTTGTGCCCCCTATTTTTCTACCGATTTCTATCTAGAAATCCCAATTTTCTCCCTTGGACTTTTGGATAAGGTGATTGTTAGGAATACAGTATACAATTGTTGACCTCTCCAGAGGTCAACCGGCAAAATTGTATACCGAGACTGTAAACCGAGAAACTACTGTTGACAGAGACCGAAGGTCGAGGTCAACAGTTGTTTCAAGGTTTACAGTCGAGGTATATGATTTTGACGGTTGACCGAATGGAGAGGTCTACAATTGTTTTGTTAGTCAGAAGAAACTATTAATACTCATATATACGACAGTCATCAATCATGGCTTCATTTCAGAATCTTTTCTCCGAACCACGCCAGCAATAATTTTTTAAGAAAATCTGAAGACAGTGGAAGCTAAACTCTCTGTTTTCGGCACATAACTGCGTACTCACTGAGAAAATTAATGTTAATTTTGCGTTTCTATTTGTATATTTTTGCTATACTCGTCGTGTAGAAAAGTCAAAATATCACTTTCATCAACGTTTATAAAATGTCCGCCTACCATGTTTTTTCTGTAAACACTGTGACGTCATATTCCCCATAATTCACAAGTGTAGTACAGTAACATACGCGGTCAATAATATGATATCCCATGATGCACAAGTGAGGTACAGGCAAAAATGTTGACCGCTAATTGACCAATCAGATGCGAGTATTTACACTGAGGTACTAACAATATAATCTGTTGATTGTGATCGCATATTAGTTTTATTTTATCACTAAGTTTTGTAATAACCTTCAATCAACTACTATACTGTTTTACATGCTCTCATATTTTATTGATTACTTTGATAGGTAACCCAGTTGGTAATATAGTGGGAGGAGTATTTGGTTCATTGATAGCCATTGGTATTATTTCTGTTCTTGCATTCTGGGTTTTCAAAGTACAAAAGGAAAACAAACACCTTAAGGTTGAACTACATTTAAGACGCAATTCTCCAGACAAAGGGTATGTTGCACTTACTATTTCTAAAAAAATGCTTATATTGTAAATAAAGCATGAGCATGGGAGAAGTGTCTAAGCTTGAGGCAAACCTTTCTTCCGCTCCTACTTACTATTTGTAGAAAGTGTGATATTCTATACCGATACTACTCAAAAATTGAACTCTATCATTTTAAAAAGGAAACGGGGCAACGAGCAGATGTTAACAAGAGGTGAACGAAGCGATTATATTGACCTACTAAAGATCCAGTTCTCTGAAAAATCTGTTTTGCCCTTAAATTTCAAGATGTCTTTCATTCTCTAGATCTGGTACCCATGGTAGGGTGAATCTTGTGTTCACTCAAGCTCAAAGTGAACCATATGACGTTGTTGACTTTACAACAAACAACTGTGATCAACTCAACGAGGATGACGTCAACATATCTTTTGTAAGTTTTAAGTATCAAAAACGTACGTTCATAATTGACTAAATTATAGTCCATTCAATAGTCGACATAATATTTCTGAATAGTTAAATCTTCCTCTTTTTTAACATATTTCATATTACAATATATTAAATATTGATTCTGATTTAGCCGAACGTTTGTGATGATGCATATCCAATGGACACAATTGACATAGGGGCGACATTAGGTGCAGGAGAATTTGGAGTTGTCAAACTTGTGAATGTGAATAACAATGTTAAAGCTCCATTTATAGCTGCTGCAAAGATCTTAAAAGGTATCTATTTCGCAAGATATAGCTACATAGAAATCATCCTTTGTGAAGTTCAGATTGTTGATAAAAATTCTACCAACTGGAATAAAAATCCATGTCCTATCTGCTATTGGAAAACTAATGAGCCAGGGCTCGGGAAAATGGGTCTGATCAAACATTGTTCTATTTTTTTTTATCTAAAGAAGCACAACGAGCCCATTCAAATGAGCCATGGCTTATGTCTTAACAATTCCTTGCTTATATGGACCATAAAAGACGGGTTTAAATTTAGCACAATTTCTTGGGCACATTTTGGGCCCAGTAGGCCAAATTTAAATGTTGTGATGAGACAGGTTTTCCTATGTTGAGGCTTAAATTTATGCATCTCATACACGTCCCAGTAAGAGATATATAGTAAAACATGCACTGCGTGTATACAAGAGCTCTAAAAAAATGTAATAATCAATATGTGTTTGGTTACGTGTGGTTTTTTAATTTAGATAATGCATCAGATGACGATCACCAGGATTTGCTTCGTGAACTAGAGCTAATGAAGCAGTTACCACGACACAACAACGTAGTAGAGCTTCTAGGTTTCTCTATAACGCATAATGGTAGGTAATTTCCTTTAAATATTTGTATTACCACGCCACAACAATGTAATTGAGCTTCTAGGTTTCTCTATAACGCATAATGGTAGGCAATTTCCTTTAAATATTTGTATCACCACGACACAACAATGTGGTTGAGCTTCTAGGTTTCTCTATAACACATAATAGTAGGCGATAACCTTCATATATTTGTATGTGGTTGATGTTTCCTGGTTTCTCCATAACACATAGCGGCAGGTAGTTTCCTCAATATATTTGAGTTACCACGACGCAGAAATGTAGTTGATGTTCTAGATTTCTCCACTAACCCATAATGGTACCCACTTTCCTCAATATGTTTCAGTTTTTATATAACCGGCATACTACATATTGTTATAGTCTCCAACTTGATTGTGGACGGTGTTCGGCGGTTGGTGTTTGGCATTCGGCGGTTTGGGTTGGGTGATCGGCGTTTGGCGTCTGTAATAAATGGCAGGTGCTGAGATTTTCCATTCATTTAAGGTCATACAATGATACTTGTTGAGTATTTACCTCTCGGTGACCTGCATAGCTACTTGAGGGCCAACAAGGCTAAATACATCCAGACTGACAAGTTGGAAACAAGTAAAGAATTGATACAATTTGGATGGCAAGTCGCAAAAGGGATGGAACACATTTCATCACATAAAGTAAGTAGTGACTTATGTTCGTCTGTGTTTGTTTTGAATGCTTGTTGTTATTGCATCCGTGTAACGCACAAGACCTTATATTTGTACTGTACTATATGTCTAGTTCTTAGGGGCAATCTTACTTATTGTGTGTTTGATGTTTGTAGGAATGTTACCTTAGTCTGTTGTGTTTGAGCGTTAATACCTGTTTCCTATATAGCCAGATTGGCTTAGTGAAACATCTTTTGGGGATTTGACCATGAGGTCGTGAGTTCGAAACGAGTGAGGTCCTTGCGTTTATTCACGTACATCATCATCATATACCTACAAACCCATGTATTTATTTTCAGTTCTTGCACCGTGATCTTGCAGCAAGAAATGTATTGTTGAGTGCAAGAAAAGTCTGCAAGATATCTGATTTTGGACTATCGAGGGACGTTGGTGAGGGAAATGTATATAACAGAAAGTCAAAAGTGAGTCAGCTTATTTCAGATAAGTTTGTAACCAATTGCAGTAGAACTGTTATTTTCATTTTCTCAAAACAACCGTACCTGATTTTGTTGAATAAAATATTTTACATGTAGAAATTTAATTTTAATACCACAGGGTCGTCTTCCTATTAGATGGATGTCTCCCGAGGCTATATTCCACAATATATACACAACTAAAAATGATGTCTGGGCTTATGGTATACTCCTCTGGGAAATACTAACTTTCGGTACTGCGTTTTGAACCAGAGTTATTGGTGTTATTTAACAATATATATCAATTGTAAATCACGAATATTATCGAGTTATGGACAGCATGCACATTACAGCTCGTTTTTATAGTCCTGTACCAGGGTCCAGAGGGATTCATTTTGCTATGGTTTATAGTGATAGTGGTCCTCTAATGCATATGATACGGTCTTATAGCACAGTCTATTTATGCGTTAAATAATTGTCGCAAGATGTTCGGTTTTTGGTACTTATTACAGGTTTTTATTTTTCCATATTTTTCCTTACTGTGTTTGATACATTTTTTGTTGTTAGGGTCAACTCCTTATCCTGGTATGAAAGGCAAAGACGTTATGGAACTCGTGAAATATGGGGGAGTGATGGACAGACCACAGCACTCCAAACCAGAACTGTAAGTATTCTAATAATTAAGTATATAAGCACGGTGCCAAAGTGAAAGGACCAAAGTTTTAATATACCCTAGCAAGAAAATGTAGTTTCTTGGTGTATACAGGTGTAAAAGTGTAGGAGGTCCAATCAAATTATGGTCCTACTTTCCATTGATTTATATGGTTACCTTAATACAACTCTTTCCCTTATTATCGTATCCACAATTAGGGCCAGTAAAGGCCTTTAAGAAAGTCGACCATAATTCCAAGGGGACCATAATTTCTTCCACACCGGTCATAAGAAAAAACAGAACCCCCTTTCCCCCACCATTCAAGAACCAGTATTACAGTCCAAGACCAGAACATCAAGGGACATTTCATTTAATCAATTTCTTTATATGTTTTTCATTTTAAAACTGATTTACTCTCGCTTACCTTATTGATGAGCATAACTTAGAATTAGATCATACATATAGTGTTTCTTTTCGCAGGTATAATGTGATGGTTGAATGTTGGAACCAGGATGCCGGTTCACGTCCTAGCTTTGCCGACCTTCTATCCAAGATGGATGACATTTTACAACAGGCAACACCATATATGCAAATGAGTGACTTTAATGAAGGTCACTACGAGAACATCAATCCTAAAAATCTCGATGAAAAACTCTAATTACTTAAAAAACTACTATTTCGGCGATAAAATGTAACGAATTAACCAGACTAGTGCTGTCGTTAAATCATTAATTCTGCACCCATCGTTTATTTTTACGAAGCATACTTATGTTGCGACCTAAACTCTTTCAAGTAGACCATGTTGTTTTGGAAAATTACAGCACAAAACGGTTTAGGCGATTTTTGACAATTTGTTGTCCCAATAATTTAAAAACTTTGGATTCATGTCAATAGTTATTTAAGCTTGTATTCGCGAATGCGACTAACGCATGTCAGCTACCGGATTAACCTACTATTTCATGGGTAAGACATTTAAATATGAATAGTACCTGCCACTATTCCATTCATATTTAAATGAGTTGATTATAAAATAGTAGGTTAATCCGGTAGTCGGCATTAGTTGCTTTCGTGAATACAGGGCTAGCCTCGGTCACATTTGCTCTACGGTGGTCGTATGGCGGTCGTATCTTCACAAAATCGATATAGAAAATTCATATTTATTCCTATATTTTATGCTGCATTTTTCTCGATTATAGGAAGCTATGGCAGGCCTCCTAGACTTCCACCAACGCGAGCATCAGTTCTGACCTCGTGAATTACGTTGCTCGCACAGGGATCCGTGCTTGCGAAAAATTTGTACATAGTGCATCCGGGTATTTGGGATTTTTTAGATATGCGTAATAATGCGAATAACATTACGGAAAATTTTTGATCAGGTGTGTGGTTCGCGAGTACGGGACTGGTGTTCGCGTTGGTGGAAGTCTAGGAGGCCTGTACGGCCGTCGAAGATGAACTGTGTCTAAGACTGCGTTTTTACACGCGTGCATAAATAGAATACATGTTCTTGCTTTAATTTGTGATGTGGAACAATGAAGTAAAAACAGGAGATACCTATCGCTTGGGGAAATGAAGATCAGCACTGTTTACGCACTACATACCTGTCAAATAATTGCACTGTTCTGCACCGCGTTTATGTTTCTTTCCTAAGACCATTTAGTGTACCTTTTTAATATTGTAGCATGTTAGGCATTAAATTCCTTATCAATGATTTCAATCCATCAAAGTAAATAACAATTACTTACATTTATATAAAATCTGCTTTTTATTATATTAAACAAATGGAAAATATTTCAAAGCAGTTATTGATAATTTATTCATTTCTCAAATTATATTTTACAAAGGGTTTAATAAAGAATTAGAGACGGTAATTAAAAAATTCTGCGTTCACCATTTTCATTCATTTATTTTTTACATAAAAATGATAAAGAAACACACCCCAGGGGCGTACATGTTTGACTTATCATAACCTAAGATTTCCAAAGTGGCATATCATTCTAGTACCTTTACCACCACCAATGTGAAAATCACATTTTTATTTAAAAAGTCAGTATATAAATGTTTAATCAAACACCAAAATATCATAGCGGCTATGTCTCATATATTTGAAATCGTAGTAGATTACTCTAGTGGGGTCGCCCTTGTACCAAACATCTGCATCCGACCAAATGACAGAAAGACTGCATACAGGCTTCACTACCTTGATGATGGCATTGTAAGCTACTTGGGCACTATTCAGTTCATTGACGATAAAGAATTGAGTAGCAAATGTTATCGCCGTCTCTTTGAGAGTTTTTACTATCTCGCCCATTTTAGGGGAAGTTTTGTATCTTCCCGACGCCAGTATGTTTCTGCCGTCTTGTCGAAATAAGATATGCCCGCTACACGTACTCGTTTGATGTTTCTCGGACCCAGTTATAGGATTATACACAACGACAAACCAATCGATCCAATAGTACTTCTGACTTAACATATCGTACAGAAGGCTATGAAATTGTTCGTTACTCACTCCATAATTGTCGGCAGAAAGCTTTTTAATATCAATTTCGGACTGGTCAAAGTACTTTCCTCTAACAGCATCGTCAATCTCTTTATAATTAGAGTTCACTTTTAGAATCTTTTCCTTCCAATCGTCCGTCCTCTCTTCTGCGATCTTTTCAAATCCTTGAAGGGTGTAATAGGTAATATCAATCTTAACTGCCTGCAAGAGGAGCCTCATAACGCCCAGAAGAAAGTCTTGAGTCTTTTTGCGATCATTAATGGTGTAGCGCATAATCGATTCTCCGAGATTTTCCTGAAACTTTCCTTGTTTGTTAACGATTGCATGGTACAGTTTTGACCCACTGTTCTGGTAATCATTTTCGTAGTGCATCTTAAACACATAACTCTTATTCGACGCCGGTGCATCACTTGCATAGAAAAGTCTATATTCGTCACTCATCGCCATTATCTTTTGCTCTATCTGACCGAAACTTACTGCCACAGCTACCCAATCAATCAAGCGTTCGATATCATCGAAGCGGGAATCCACTTGATCAAATCTGTTGTCAATCTTTTTCATCATTTCTTTCATGAACGCCAACTCTGCGGAATCTCCTGTCGGAATAAAGACCATAATAAGACTAGCAAAGGGCCCCAATACACCAAGAAATGGTCCTATCGACCCAGCTATTTTTGTCAAAGCTTTGGTAAATTCTTTGTCTTTTATAACGTCCAGGAGTTCTTTTCCAGTTTCCAAGCCTAGTTGAATTGCTGTCTTCTCGCTGTCGGTTATACTTTCAGTGTGTGATATTGAGGCAAAAACCACAACTGCCAGCAACCATACAGATAGATGCATGCCTAAAGCACAAAGAAAAATGTGACCATTCTAAAGACTTCCCAAAACAAAGGATAGTCAAATAATGCTATTTTTTGTAAAAGCCTTAAGTGGCAACTCCGTACGAGTATTCACCTACAACACTTGTCCCCACCTGGTTATAAAGGCATCATGTTTTTTTTAACAAATTGACTGAACTTCCATCGGAGGAAAATAATATAACCTTACATAACATTTTAACTAAATCAATTGATATTAGCCCCTATGAAGGGAGTGGATTTATTTACAACTACACCGTTGATCATAATTAATTTAATTTACCTTCGATCTTCCCTATTTCAATGTGCTCTCAAATGTTAATGAATTGACATTTTCAAAGTCTGGTCGGAAAAGGTGATCCAAATGCTATTTTAACTTGCATCATTTCCAAAGAATTTATTCATAAAAATCCACTAGAATTGTGGGGGATGCTATTCCCAACAATCTGTATTCTTGAGACTAGTTCAAATCTCCTTGAATTATTTTCTCTCAATTTGACATTCATGATGCAAGTAAATCGTAATCGCCATTATGGGACCCCAAGCCTTTACTATCCTCTATGATATTTCTCTTTGGCCCATTCGATCTCACGGGAAACATCATGCCAGCCATGAAAATAAAAGGAAGTTATCCTATATGAGGTTCAGGATATTGGGATTATCCCTCTGACCATAAATATAAACTCAACTTACCTCCAGACCTCTGATAAAGTTCCATGTTTGACGTCAATGCAGGTCTTGGAAAGTCGATGTTGGAGTCGGTCGTTTCGTCTCCTGCACTTGACGAGCTGACATCACCTTAAATACCCTAATTATACATATTTACCATATCTAGGGTTATTACATCTATCACTTTCGACATGCCATTCCCTACCTGTCAACCAAAACGTTGAATAAGAGGAATTTTCGCATAGTTCTGAATAAAGTGATGAGTGTTTGGCTAACTTGTCTTATAAATTACACCGTTTCCTCCAAATTTTTTTTACATGGTAATCTATTTATTTCATAAATCTTATTTTACATCAGATGGCTTGCCAATCGCCAAAAAGGCATTATAGGCCAAGCTTAAAGATAACAATATATCTAACATGAGCTAATAATAAACAACATTAAGTACATTGTGGCTATCTGTGGGATTCTGGCTGAGAATAAGAATGAAGAGGTGTCAAGTCATTGGTTCAACGAGGGCAGAAAGGAGGGGCATAGCGGTGAAAACTATGGAAGGGATCTTATTTTATATGGTCTTGAATAAAGCTTGCCACGTTTATAAAGTGTTCCTTCTTTTGTAAGGGTGAGAGGTCGTTACTTCCATATTTCAAGAAATGTATTATTTGGTTTTCGTTTTTGATAGTTTGCGGTTTATATCTTGATATAAAAAACATGTTTTAGGTTATCAACATGTGCAGTGTTTAATGTTGTAAAATTGTGTGCATATAGTTGTGTTTTAAAAATCAAATATACTCTGAATCTGTTCATTAAAAGTTCCTATTTAGCTTTAAGCTAGTGATAGTGTCAAAATTAGGTTTTAATTTTTGAATCAGTTTCCTTTGACAATTTTTGAAGCTGGAGAGACTTTGGCTATCTTTAAGATACTGACGGGCTTTGTTCCACATTGATGCACCATTGAAAACTGGTGAGTTTTTCAGTTAAGCTTAACAATTTAAGGGTAGTTTGAAGTCTAGATTATATCTTAATGATCTTTGATTATGACTTTTTAGGGGTTCAAACATTTCAGTTATATAATTTGGACATAAATTGTGCTTAACACGATACATAAATCTCAAGATTTGCATATCCCTCCTTGTTTCAAGAGGGGTCCAAGCAAGTGTTTCAATGACTTTTTCTGTGCTGCTTCCATGAATACAGCCGCTACAGATAAGTGCTGCTTGATAGAGGCATTTATTCAGGATATTGAGCAAATATTTATTGGAAGAGTTATAAAGTATGGCCCCGTATTCAAAGTGAGGCCTAATAAAGGATACAAAAATAGTTTCCAATGTTTTTGATGACAGTTTCCGTTGGAGAGTCTTAAGTGGGTTGAGCATTTGGTTAACTTTATCTCTAATTGACAAGATGTGTGCTTCATTTGTAAGGTGCTCATCAAATATATATCCTAAATGCTTGTGTGAAGTTACCCGGTTAATGGATATGTCATTCATGACTGTGTCACTGATCTGATTCAGTTGAATTTTTGACTTGTGGAATAAAATTTCTTTTGTTTTTTTCTGGTTTAAAGCTGAGTTTCCATTTTTCTGACCAGGATATGATTTTTCTTATAGATTTGTTTACTATTTCATCAATTTCTGTTGGGTTTTGAGTGCGAAATGGGAAATAAATGGATGTGTCATCAGCATAGATAAAACAGTCTGTTTCAAGGTTATCTGGGAGATCATTAAAATATTAGAAAGAGCAAGGGGCCTAATATTGACCCCTGTGGAACCCCACTTTTTATAGCATTTGACTCGGATAAATTAGAGGAAGTACCTGCAATTGTGACTCTGACTTTGCGTTCCTCCAATGTTGAATGTCTGATCCAGGTTGTTGAAGGAACTGTATGGATATTGCATCTACTATAACTGAAATTAGAGCAAACAACTAAGGAATGCCGGAAAAAATTGATGTTGAGATGTACATTTAATTTTCCATTCTCTGTTGAGCATTCAACTCAAATAATGATTCACACAGCTAGGCGTGGCATATCGAGTTCCTGCCAATCAGAAAACAGTATCTAAAACGATATGCATTCCTTTTTAACAGAGTGTGAATGCTTATTTATAGATTCAGAGAACCCTCACCAAGCTCATCCTATCAAGATGACAGTTGAATGGTAAACTGTGATGGGATCACCACCGGCGTCGAAACGAACGTAGCTAAATATTTTTAGTGATAAATGTGAAAAATCTTTCGCAAAGTGTGAAAAAACGTAAGCACATACGCTAATGAATCATGGGTGATACATATATTCTACCCCAACGCGTACTCGTTCAAAATGTGCAGTATTGATATACGATACGCATGCTTAGTATCATGCACAGCCCATTGTATTGAGCCATCGGTTTACATTCTTGAAACCATATGCAGATATATACATAGAAAATAAACTCAGATTCAGATATGTCAAAATGTAATGTGCTTTTCGAAAATTATGTTGATGTTTTATTTTGAAAATTAATTACAAACCTGCATATTGTTCTTAGATAGTTGAGTTCCCTGGATGATGATAACCGATTTGAATAATTTAAATGTATAAAGATACCTGTACTGAATTAGTAATTATACTTTAACGATACTGTATAATATTAAATTTTATCAGGTGTTATATATCAAGCCCCCATATATGTTATATGAATACGCGATTGTAAATTGTAATTAATTACCCCACGTTGAGATTACGTCTTTGAATTCTAACTCGAAGAAAAATTCAGGCCATTGTCGAATGTGGTAAAATTATACTAAAACTTTAGAAATTAAACATTATTTTTTACAGCTTTTACTCTTAGCGTTATGGGACTTCAAAGAGAAGTGAGGGTTATCCCTAAATGATATACTCATTGCATAGGGTAATTAATTTTCTTTGGTATGACGAAACTTAGGAGTTAAAAAATAATTTGTGGAGTTTTCTTAATGTTTTATGAAAAACAGCATGCTGGACAAATATTACGAAAAACAGCATGCTGGACAAATATTACGAAAAACAGCATGCTGGACAAATATTACGAAAAACAGCATGCTGGACAAACTTTCGATGACGCCCCGTGAGCTTAGCGTGTTCAGTGCTGTAGACCGCTTGTCCAGTTCGACAACCCAAAAAGGTTGTTTCGTCAAAATGGAACAGCCTATTGACGCTCAAACACACCTTTAGGAGATAACATTCATACACACATTCCACACAACACGACTGCCCTTAAGATCCCAGAGATGATTATTGCTACAAACTGTTGAAAATGTCGAACTAGTGTTAGTTACTCTATTACATGACGAAGTGAGTTGTTTGTTCGAGAATGATAACTTAACCGTCTTGGAAATACTCTAAACATTATTAAACCTGAAAAATTGATGAATGATGGACACAATACATGAAACGTGACTTCAAAATGTTTTATTACTGCAGACATATTCCCGGGCCTCGGTTATAAAGTTATAAAGTTGTTTATTATTACAAACCATTAGATTACAAAGCGATATGGACCTATCTAAGATAGATTAATGGCACTGTATAAACTTATTACATATATCAAACGTTATCATACCTTCATAACAACGACATGGTTCAAAATTGAATGCATAATGCAAAATAATTACAATATACTTTATTTTGTAAAACTATCATGACATGACCTGGTGTAACCTGCAATTTGAGCATTTTACTACAACACATATTCCTGGATAACTTAAAAACTGTACAAAATGACCATAGACTTTATACTTGTGATTTGATATGATTAAGGTGAATTTTCTTCGAAAAAGTTGACCTTTTGATTTCCCCCCATCTGTCAAAATCAAAATGACAATTTTTTACATTCCGTTTAGATGGCGCATTCAACAAGTGAGATCTTTTGATTTTCATCAGATTTTTGATTCAAACTTCAAATTTTCAAAATTGGTTGAGTGACAGAGGACATACTTGAGTATAATGGCATGATAGTAAAACATGGCGTTACAATAGATACTGAGCTGAAATTCCATGATCATGTGTCTAACTGCACCGACAAGGTCAACAAAATCCTAGGATCCATCAAGAGGACATTCTCCAACAAAGACCCAGACATCCTTCTCCCCTTTACAAAACTCTTGTCCGCCCCCACCTTGAATACTGTACTGTTGTTTGGAGCCCAAGATATAATATGGACGTAAACAAAATTGAGAGGATCCAAAGAAGAGCCACCAAAATGATGACCAATATGTCTGAACTGTCATACACTGAAAGGCTCAAACAGCTAAATCTCTACTCGATTGCCTACAGAAGAAAAAGAGGAGGCCTGATCCAAGTATACAAACTCATGAACAACATTGACAACATAGACCACTCACAGTTTTTCACACAGAACCGCAACACCACCAGAGGCCACAGCCTGAAATTTTACAAGAACAGAACAAGTACTGCCCTAAGACAAGGATTCTTTAGCCAGCGTGTAATAAATGACTGGAACAACCTCCCAGAAATAGCTGTCTTCGCCCAGACACTAGATGAATTCAAGGCAAAGGTTGACGCCTACTACCATCCAGAGATGATGAAGAAGAAGTAGTGACCTCAGTAAGATGATCAGTGCACTCACTAGGTTTTTTGTCAAATACCAGTTGCAGTTTAGTTTTGTCAAGTCACTCACAGTAAACTTTGGGAAATAAAATACCAAAGTATCAAAATTAATTGATCTATATTTGGAAGGGAGGAACACACAGGCACCCAGCCTTATACTCCTAAAACCGATGATGATGATGTCCACAAATCTTAATTTTCTCTAAAAGGCAGGTCACTTTATAAACGCATGTTATAGCATTTACTTGTGTTCTCCGACAGAGGCTACTGACCGATAACATCGTCGATAATTTCCGGAAACTCTGCCCGAATCGAAAATTCAAAAATGTACGGAAGTACTTGATACGAGTTTTAGACCTCTTCGAAAAATCTTTGATACAGGGTATATCTGAGGGAAATACAATATATCTACCCGAGGGACCGTAGGGACCGAGGGTTGGTATATTGTATTACCGAGAGATACATGTATACCTTGTATCAAAAACCGAGCATTCAATAACTGATTTATCCTATACTTAGTAGATTATGAGAATCAAATATGCATTGAATGTTAGAGAACAAAGAACAAAGAATGTTAGAGCCAAATAGAGTCAATTAGAGCAAAAGTATATCCTGGGAATTCAAAAAAAGCACCGAAAGAAATGCCCGGGGATTGTTGATGAACGGGTGATATATATATCACCCGCTCACCTCAGATATCGATTATATCCCCGCATCTTATTTACCTATAGCACTACTAAGTATGGGATAATATCTAAAAGTAGCCGAGTTGAAGCACTTTTAAGTGATTTTGGCCATTCTTGAACGAAAATTGTCAAAAGAGCCCCCCTGGAATTTTCTAGCAAAGGCTGGCTACGGGCCTGAACTACCCCAATTATAATCGATGCATGCAATTTCAAACATTGCAAAAATGGGTGATGGCACTTATACAAGCTAAAACTGAAAATAGTTACCAAATGAATTTTAAATTTTTGTATATTTATGATAACTAATTTGTCAGGTGATCAAATTTCAAACGTTACTCCCTCTCGGTATAATGCAATATGGGCGGTGGTTCCAAAACAAACTTCTTCGTGATACCTTCAGATATAGATATTAGAGAGTTTAAGCTTGCAATGTTTTTCACAACCTAAACGCGAACGGGAAATATTTAAGCGATGCATTCATATGGGCGATTGGCCATACGTTTAGGCTGGCGTTTCGATTCTATATGTAAGCTTAAACTCCCTAATAGTTAGATTTTCGGTCAAATAATGAAATCTAAAAAATATTCCTCCATCACCCACCGAGTTATTCTGTGTTTATCTCGGTATGTTATTTTTCTAGGACATCCTATAATTTTAATTTGCTGGTCAGAAGCCAAAACCTACCTGTTCCACATTATACAGTATCTTAGGCGTACATGTACATACGGGTTTAGCTTAGCAAAAGCAAGTATTAAATGTACCGTTTCTGATTAGAAGGTATTATTATATTGAATATATTTCATTATTAATGCTGGCATAATTTCAATAAAATTTTGGCGATACTCCATTTACATCTGCAGGTAAACTTTAAATTGTTATATTTTTAATCTGATCCTCGATTTTGAATAAACATCGGGCATTAAAACTTATGCAACAGTCCGATCAAAGTTTACTCTTAACTTGTTAATGTGAAGAAGCATTGGATTGGGCGGCATTTTTTTAATGTGGTTCGGTGGAAAATTCAATTAAAACTGGTAAGTAACAAAGACATTTTAACGTGACAAGGCTGTGTAAAGGAGTTTTACAAATGGGGTGGATGTTATTTTGATCTAATCATGTACATGTACATGCGTATATTTCACTAGATGAAAACCTTTTTCAAAAAGCTTTTACAGAATAGTTTTTTTTGGAAAAATCTGTTGTTGATCTATATGTACATCACTTGACTATACGATCAATAAACGTGTTTGTTCGTATACTAGAGTTGTTAGCGAAAGACGTCTTGCTTTGCTTGAGACCGCAAAGTTGGTTAAAGAATAAGAATATTAATTTCGATATAAGTAAAGCTTTTAAATTGAAGTGGTACATGTACGTAGAGTTTAGCTTGAGGGGATTGAAAGTCGAAATGTCTTGTACATGCAAGATACTATCGGGAAAATGACAAAATAATTGAATGAATGAAGAAGGTTGACTGGGACACTGAATAGATATGGGATAGACTGGGATATTTCTAAATATATACATAAATAATATCAATTAACAAAACTTTGTTTTTTATTTTTTAATGCACCCAGTGGCGATACATTGGTCTAACAGCAATAATCCTTGGCATCGTTCCTGAAGGAGAGCCCTCTACCCGTGAAAACTTGAAGAACACCCATTAGCATTGCTCCTGAGGTCAGATTTCGTTAAACGTATAATCAAATTCATACCTGTTCATAGAGCAAACTTCAGAGTCATATCTTTGATTTAGGATATTTCCTTACCATGAAATAAAAATTGTGCTTTTGTGGTGAAATTTTAGTAAACGTTTCAGTTGCTTATCTCAATTTTCTCTTCATAAAAAATCGTGTATGCCCTCCCCCCCAAAAAAAAGCTAAGAAACACATCTGTTTCATCATGGAATGCCATAGCCCTCTCTTCTTGCATCATATAGAGACAGGGTTTTTACATGTGCGATGTGTATCAAAATGCATCTGATTTCATTTTCTGATTTTGTTTGCAGAAAATACTTTCAATTCAAGATCTACAGTCAAGATCTGCCTGCCTATACACGGCATCTGCATTTTTGAATCGGTCAACAATGTATTGCGCTAATGCCAAAATGAAAGTAATGAATCTATAAAGAGAAATACGTCAAGCTGATGAATAATATTTTTTTTGATTTGTAGTGAAATGGCGCAGCAGTCGATGATATTTAAAAGGTACGGAACTTAACGAATCGAAGAATATGATCGAATACATGGACCTCTATCTCGAGATAAAGGTCTAGATAGAGATCCACATGATAGATATTAGTATCAAATCAGCATGATGTTTGTTTATAGATCAACTCTTGAAATATAGATGAAAATAATTTCGAAATTAGTTGAACGTACGTCGTATTCTGCGCCTACATGCACCCCTCTCGAGAAGCATACTTTTCCTCAAGGAGTGATGATGACGATATGACTAAACGGCACATACTTTTCGATACTCCAAACTCGATAAAAAATATGCAATTTGATTGAAAAAATACGCCAGCGAACAATCCAGGAAAATGTAACTTTCCAAGCAAAATTCATTTTATTCTTGTTCAAGGTTCTCCGAGATCCAAGTGGACGTTGATGGTGGAATACCAGTTCTTCCTTTCTTAGATGCCTGCTCGGCAATCCTACCTTTCTTTGGTAAGTTATTATATTATACTGATTATTTTCTTTCTTCACGTGATGCAAACATATGTTTATCAATTCTGCAGAAGCCCCATGAAAGATTTTACGCATCACCTTGCATTCGTTCAGAGCAATCATGCCTCTAGGTACGCAACGAACGAAATGATTTTGAGAATGAAGATTCATGGTCCAAGGAGGATTGGCTCCCAGGATCGAAACTCGATATTTTCCAACAATGAAAACGTCGAAATGTCGTTATTTTCTGAAATTAAAACCGACTATAAATTCAAAATAAACAGTTCAAAAGATTCGAACCAATATCTCGATCGTTTCTTGTGAGTTTTGGAATTTTTCGTTTGGAAATAAGACCAAAATTCACGATTTAAATGTTGAAGTGAACAAAATGGCGGCTGTTTGAATTCGAATTTTGTATTACGACATACCCATATATGGGACAGAATATCGGTGGTGCACTCTGGGAGCCAATCCTCCTTGATTCATGGTCAGAATAATACTAGTACTCGATCAACTTGCTGCAATAGGTATTACCAGAAACATATAACACATAAAACATTTTATATGTCTCTGGTATAGCAGGCCTTAGAAATATATCTGGAAAATAATTAAACAGTGCTATAGGTTTTGTGGTGTTTTTATCTCCCACTTCCAACGTTAAAACTTTTAAAATCTAAGTAATTAAGTTCAGTGCATAGTACCCTTATTGTTTCACACGGCGTTTTATTTACCCAGTAAATATCCATGAACTTGTAAAAATCCCAATGAACGACCATGTCGTTATTGTTTATTCAGATTATTTTGTTTCAGATGTACTCGGTACAACCGCTTTTGCACCCATGAAGTCGGATATTTCAGGTAATATTCAGGTGAGTGTGTTTGTCGAATATTACCTCTCTGGAAAAAATATGTATGGTAATAATTGTGAAGTCGGATATTTCAGGTAATATTCATGCGAGTGGATTTGTCGAATATTACCTCTCTGGAAAAAATATGTATGATAATATTGTGAAGGTGTTCGTCTGTCCGTTCAATCAGTGTCTGTCCTTACAAGGGATCTGACCGGAACGAAGAAAATGAACTTACTAATTTTCTATTTCCATCAAATAATTTAATAGCTTCACCGGGTTTTCATTCACAATGATTCATACATTAATAAATTGCTCTGTTTGAATTGAAACTTGTATTACTAAACTTGTATTTTAATCTGACGTCGGACGTATTCAATTAATATTTTACTACGTTTCCAGAAAATACGAGCAAAGTTTTTGTCCTCAGAAGGGGTATACAGGACTTTGCAGGATATGGTGCAAAAAGAGATTTTAAACAAAAGTACGCAGGCCAAAAACTCAATTACCGAAGCCTTGCTGTGGTTGAAAAGGTATGTACGACGTTCACTTTCTTCTTCACTTTTTTTGCTCACTTAACAAAATGTCTGCGATAAGGTCATTATCCTAGCAGTTCATTGGTGCGTTCTCTTACCATATAAATATTCAGGCACGATGAGCACAGAGCAAATTTCTTGCTAGATATTGAAGATCGAGTTTTAACGCTGGGATCCGCTCCTTTAATCGTTTGTAGAACCGCCATGCGCAACATTTATTAAAATTTGAAGTGAAAATGGCAATTATTTGAACTTAGTTCAGTTAAACATCATCAATTCTGAACTCAGTCGCAAGTAAGCCACTCAGTAAAATTACGATTTCAGTCAAAAATCACGTCAGTATAGCGTGGTTCGAAATAAGACGACTGAATGTCACATATGGACGTGCATGCTAAATCGATCATGGGCTTTCAATTAGAATCTAGTTGAAAGCCCATGGCTAAATATAGCCTATATTGTAAGTTGATTCTATATTTTAGGGCTGTTGGATTTCACCGTGAATTTCTTCGTGAATTCTTAACTGGCGAGGAGGACCTCGTTAAAGTGTCTAAAAAAGCATACGAACTTACACTCAAAACGTACCATGGATGGATGGTCCAAGGAATATTTTCGGTGAGTGAATCAAATGATATAATAGATATAATCAGTCTATCAATATTGTAAAATATCTGCCACTTTCTCAAGGGCTGTAAACATGTAAAATGGTGCGCTGGTGATTTAAGCCTCAGTCACATTTGGCCGGAGCTTCACAAAATCAATATAGAAAATCTACATCGCATTGCTGATATCCCTAGGCCTATGTTTTATGCTGCATACTGTATTTGGCTCGATTTTGGGAAGTACGGCTGCCGTAAGGTGTCATAGATCAAATCTCTAAGGCATTAGTTAAACGTTTCTGAGCTACGATGTTTTCATTTCTGCGGTCAATCCAAATTATAGGGCCACCGAAGCACTTCCACGATCACATACTGTAGGAGTCACATATGCTAGGGCATCTGCACGGCGTCTTTTGTGGAAACAAAACATAAAGCTGGTGAACTTCATTAAAATGATGAGACAAGCTGTCGGCACTACAGGAGAACTTGGAAATACAACTGTTGTAACCTCAGAACGTGACACTAACTTCATGGCGACGCCTCTGTCACACCAGAATAGTCTAGATCTGACAACGGTAAAGTCAGATACCGTTGTCACAAATGGCGGACATAACCGTCGCTTTGTGACAACAGTATCTGACTTTACCGTTGTCAGGCTATTCCGGGGTGCCTGTGGCCGCCGTTGGAATTTCTCTTGTTCGATCGAGGAGCTCAGGCCGCCATATCCTTGCCTTTATAGAGCAATTATGACTGAAAATTAAGAATGTAAAATTAAATAACAATACAAACTGGTACTCTTGTTTAATTTTCAGTTGGCCATGAAGGCTGTACCACACAGAGACAACTTCATAAAGAGGCTAACGTCTGCGGAATATGGCACGCCAAATGTCAAAGAAGAACAACTATTGAGTGATGTAAAGAGCTATGTAGAGGACATTACACGAATAACGGATATTTTACAAACATATTATCTAGAGAAAAATTTGGACAACGATACCAAGGTGTAGTCTTGGCAAAACATCTAATATGACAATGCGTTCACTGGCGTAGGTCTTTCGCATAACGTTACTACTTAAGATGTCCCTCGGCGTTTATAGTAAGGATGTGTCCGGGTATATGCCCTTTTGGTCCCTCAGTCAAATGTATGTGAAATATGGTTTTTATTACTGTCCTAGTTATATTTGATAAGTATATTTAATTTTCCTGGAGATTTGATGCATAATTAACCCCTTGCTGAGAGTCAGAATAGTCATCATCATAGAAAAAACACCAATGGCAAACATGTATGACATACAAAGGAGAAATAACTTAAGACCCATGAAGAATTTAAAAGAAAATCATATTTCGAAATATATTTAAGGATTACAATTTTTTCAAATTTTTGAATTTCCCGCCAGTTTAATTTCAAGGGGGAAAAACAAGATGGCTGCCATTTGATGTAAGAAACATCAGAAAAAAAGTTGCTTCACTTTTAGTTTTCACAATGAGCACAGTTTCAGGTTTAGTTTTTTTTGACTGATTCTGACTCTTAATCACCAGGGTCATGTATAGAGATTATAAAATTGAAACCAAAATGTTGTGCTCAGCATGAATTTGACTGAAATATGTGTAAATTCACCAACACAATTGAAGTCTCAAAACTGGATGCTCAGTAACTTTGAGTGACTATAGTCCCTTGATTACCCAGATAAACACCAATTCACTTATCCAAAAATACCATTCAATGTCCAGACTTGCCAACCTAAAATGAAAATTTTTCTGGAGAATTAATAAAAATTGCGGTACTTTTACGGGAGTTTTTTCCAAAATCCGGTAGTTTTTGCGGGAGTTTTTTGAAAAAAGCGGGAGTTTATACGGGAGATTTTTGAAAAAACGGTAGTTTTTACGGGAGATTTAAAAAAAACGGGAGTTTTTGTGGTAAATTTTGAAAAAAGGGAGTTTTTACGGGAGATTTTGAAAAAACAGGAGTTTTTACGGGAGATTTTTTCAAAAAGGTATTTTTCGCGGTAAATTTTAAAAAACGTGACTTTTTTTTACGGAAGATTTCAGAAAAACGGGAGTTTTTGCGGTAGGTTCTGAAAAAACGGGAGTTTTTACGGTAGGGTTTGAAAAAACGGGAGTTTTTGCGGTAGATTTAAAAAAACGGGAGTTTTTACGGTAGATTTCTGAAAAAACGGGAGTTTTTACGGTAGATTTCTGTAGATTCTGAAAAAACGGGAGTTTTTACGGTAGATTTCTGAAAAAAACGGGAGTTTTAACGGTAGATTTCGGAAAAACTGGAGTTTTTACGGTAGATTTCTGAAAAAAACGGGAGTTTTTACGGTAGATTTTGAAAAAACGGGAGTTTTTACAGTAGATTTCTGAAAAAACGGGAGTTTTTACAGTACGTCGCGTGAGAATAACTTTGTACTAACTGCCATTTTCAAAAAAATTGAGATAGACATGGAATTTTACTATTTGAAACACAGGCTTTCATCTAAGATACATGCCCCATCTCAATTCCCTCTCATTAAGCTAGAATTCAGTGTGAAATTGTACCATCTCCAGACAAACAGCTTATTTCTAATTTCAAATTGTCATATCTGATATCAACTGTTTCAACCAATCAACTCTCTAAGAATTGGTCATGTGACTTGCAAAACTTGGAGTTATAACAATTTTATATTAAAACGAAGTATGCCAATATGCATGTTATTGTATCTAGAATGAAATAATGTTTTGTAACACAATACCATGCCAGTTTGCATGCCTGGCCTTTCATGTTTTAGTTTTAGAACTATTACAAGTAGATCAAAAAAATAAAATGATACAGTATGTGTAATCCCATGCATATTCAAATTATATGCCCTCAATTACTCTTTGTATTATGGATGCTCATTGGATTATTCATGGCCACATGATATGAAATAAAATCACTAATTTCCTCGAAAACCTAAATCCTTGCTACCAGGGAAGATGAAAAGTACAAATGACCAGTTAATTAGATCATGTGAGCAGTCAAAAGTACCCTTTATCTTCCCTGCTACCAGGTCTTATAGGGGTTTGAATGGCCAAATGCAATAGAAATGCATATACGAAGCTTTCATCATTAAATGTTGAAAATGAAAGACTACTTATTTGTTTCTTCAGATAGAGTACATAATAATAGGTTATATACTAGATATAGTAATCAAAACAAATAGTAACTGTCATATTTTGCATTTCATTGCTCAAAGGCAATCGCTGTCTGTATACTATTGAAATTTCTTTCAAAATGATGTTTTATAGTTTGTGGAAAAAAGCTAAATCTATTTAAACTAGCTTTAACTTTTACTGACCATACACTATATCAATAAGGAGTTATCTTTATGTTAGTATAGTCCCTTAAAACACTTATTTTATTTTCTCTTCGTCTATGATTTACTGCAGCTTTTCACTGAACATCTGGGATCTTTTTAGTTATTTTATTACTAGTATGTTTTTCAGATTTGTCCTTTCTTTTGCATTTTTGGGATCATTGTTTTTAGATCATCTACATTTTATTTTGGAAAAGTAACAAATTGGTTCAATTTCTTTACAAAGAGCCACTCTTAGTCTCCACTTCTACAATTGCTTCAATTCCCAATTGTACTCCACAGAGTAGCAAACAACAGAAAATGAATGGATAATGATAGCTGCATCCCAATGAACAAAATGTGATTACCTAAATCGAGGTTTCATCACTTTTATTAATCTAAAATGAATTAGAAATTATTTTTCTGTTTTCAAATTTCTTCCATGTGCATGTAATAAAAATTGGTTATGTCTTAGGCCCTAAGGATCTGAAACCTGCTGGTCAAAATGGAATTACAGACCAGTTGCAATGTTATTCTCCTATACCCAGTGAAAAAATCAACTGGTCTGTATCAAAAATAACCTGATAATGACCAGCGGACCGGCCCCTTAGGGGCTACATTGTAATGTGCTGGGAGGTTTAGGCTACAGGGTTTATACCGAGGGAAATATGTGGAGGACCGTATTGGCATCATTGGTTTCAATGCATTGTACTTCTGCCTTAGTTTCAAAGGCAATAAATTCTTTTTGAAGGGTGTCCTGAGATTCCAAAATTAAGATCTAGAAATAATTGTACTTATTTGAGAAATTGATTTTAAAGTTTTATAAATTGAATTTTCTTTATTTTATTAAATAATATTCTTTGGTTTTTGAAGATTTTTTTACAAAGCAAAACATTATTTTTCATTCTAGATACAATAACATGCATATTGGCATACTTTGTTTTAATATAAGATTGTTATAACTCCAAGTTTTGCAAGTCACATGACCAATTCTTAGAGAGTTGATATCAGATATGACAATTTGAAATTAGAAATAAGCTGTTATTCCGGTGGGAAATTGTATCAACTCCATTTCCATAGTTTTAAAAAAGGATCTTGTAAATTGTTTCAAGGTGTGATATTTCATATAAGATATCTCTAGGGTGAGACCAGGTGACATACAAAAAATCAAGTTTCACATAGCAATACTAAGTAAGATACAGACCTCTAAACTTTCAAACCTTGATTTCTCAGTTCCGTAAAAATGTGAGATAGTACAAAGTTATTCTCATGCGACGAGTAGATTTCTGAAAAAACGGGAGTTTTTACTTTAGATTTTGAAAAACAGGAGTTTTTACGGTAAATTTTGAAAAAACAGGAGTTTTAACGGTAGATTTTGGAAAAAACGGGAGTTCTTACGGTAGGTTTCTGAGTTTTTACGGTGGATTTTGAAATAATGGAGTTTTTACGGTAGATTTATGAAAAAACTGGAGTTTTTACTTTACTTTTACTTTTACAATCTGCGTGAGGTTCCATTTTTATGTTCGGTTTTTCGCGCATGAGCATTAAATCCAGCGATTTAATTGGTTGAAATTATTATGACGCATGCGCAGTCAATAAATTAATTAAAACTTATAATCTAAGATAGATGTCACTTACGTTCATTATTTCACAGCAGTCCCTACCCATAATGCGCCTTATATTGCGGGAATATTTTGTTTAGCGCCATATAAATATAATATATATAAATATAAATACGGTAGATTTCGACAGCAAAAACGGAGATTTTACGGGAGTTATACCAAGAATACGAGTGATTTTACGGGAGTTATACCAGAAAACGGGAGATTTTACGGGAGTTATACCAAGAATACGGGAGATTTTACGGGAGATTTCAGCAAAAATACGGGAGATTTTACGGCCATATTTTCAAAAAAAATTACGGGAGATTTTAGTAGAAATACGGTACGGGAGTTTTTACGGGAGAAAACGGTACGGGAGTTTGGTATTTTTTACGGAAAAACAAAAAATTTACGGGAGATTCCCGTAAAAAAACGGGAGGTTGGCAAGTCTGATATAAGCAATGTTTTGGAGGATATGTTTCAAACGTTTTGCATAAATAGTTGATTTAATATTTGCCATTGATTTTTTTTCAATTCTGACAAAGTGATATGCCCTGTCTTTGATGCCAATATTCTTCATCAATTGTGATACAAATTGATATTTTTGTAATCTCAGAAGAAGGATAAGATATTGAAGTTTAATAATATGTGTGATTGAGTTGGTTTTTCAGATATTACAATTTTCAATATTTTCTAAGTGGATACCCAGACTCATTCCCAGACTCATCCTTTGTAAACTTTCTGAAATCTAGAGTATTTACAAAACTAAAATTTAGGTCAAATTAACTTGTATCTTTCAACAAGACACACAGTGATAAATATCGCACTTTGAAGAGCAAACTGGCCACCATGCAATTTACCCAGCATGGCCAAAACCTAATCAGACCTTGGCACTTGTCTGCTCTTGCATCTGTAAACATTTCAAGTTGACAAGGTTAGCGGTTTTCCTGCAATTTTGATGACAATAATTTATTTGTAGTCTGGAACTTTGGGAAAATTTAGATAACATCGTTTGTGACCTAATTTGATGACCTTCGACCTTGAAAATTTATTTTTTTCAGACCTCAGTAGGTGTTTTGTAATTAAGCTGACCTAAATTTAAATCCAAAATATCAATTTAGAAAATCAACTTTTTTTACCTTTTCAAGGTCACTGAAGGTGAATGAAAGGTCAAATCTGAAATCTAAGGTCAGATTTGAACTTCTGAGAACTTGTAGATGTTTTTAAAAAAAAAATTTGGTCAATTTGGAGCAAGTTGAAAAATTCAAAATGGCCACCAAATTGAAAAATTCAAAATGGGCACCATGTAATTTAGCCAGCATACCCAAAACCTAATCAGATCTTGGCAAAAGTCTGCTCTTGCATCTGTAAAAATTTCAAGTTGAACGGATAAGTGGTTTTCCTGGAATTTTGATGACAAGATTTGTTGAAAAATTCAAAATGGCCGCCACGTAGTTTACCCAGCATGCCCTAAACCTAATCAGATCTTGGCACTTGTCTGCTATTGCATCTGTAAAAATTTCAAGTTGAGCAGGTAAGCAGTTATCCTGGAAATTTGATGACAAGATTTGGTTTATGTCCCGCCCGCCCGCACGCCCGCACACCCGCACGCCCGCCCGCCCGCCCAACAGCACAAGACGACGGCAATATAGCACTTTTTCAAAGTGCAATAAAAAGCGTAACTGTTCGAAGTGTCACTCCACCATTTATAATTACTTTTTATTCTTGCCGACATCACAACTGTATTTACAAGCCTACCAAATAAAAAAGGCTATCATGACAACGTCTGTACATTTTTTAAGTTTCCGTTTAAATTGTCCATCTACAGTTTATACTAACTTTATTAGTAATAATACTGACTTTACGATTAACTTCCTGATATCGAAGTGAATATAAATGGACACGAAGAAGTGGCGTAGGAACAATGTACGCCAATGCGTAGTGTTGAAAAATGAGAGTAAAAAGTAAAAAATAATAATTTCACTATGTTCATCAAGCATATTTTGTTATTGTAAGTTTAAAACAACTGGTTTGTGATCTCGAGCACACCAAATAAATGTTTTTGGACAAATGTGCACTACTCAAAATACATAAGGCAGGCCCGTAGCCAGAATTTTCCAAGGGGGAGTTCACTTTTGCAAAAAATTAAAAAAAAGTCAGAATGGTGAAAAACTGCATGATTTTGAAAAACCGTACCCCCCCCCCCCCCCGAACACGCCCCCCCCCCCCTTGGCTACGGGCCAGTAAGGTTTACCTAAATCTAAATGATGAAGAGGTTCTTGCCACTTTGAGAAAAGACCAAGAAAACCGGACTTGGTTCCATAAAACTAAAATTGTCTACATGTACCTCAGACCTCCCAACATACCATTTAACGGGGGTCCTATTGTAAAAGTTTTGTTTTTACTTAAAACATTCAACAGTTTTCCCATTAAATTCTTTTCTTTATTCGAGATAAAATCTACCTTCTAAATCTATTTCTATCCATTTCATTTCGCTAACATGCGCAATATCGTGTCACATATTTGATATACATTTTCTTAACATCAATTGGTCATACTATTTTCGTATTGCACAGTTCACTATGAATCCAGACAATAAATAATACATTTAAGCAAAACTTACCCACGTTTTTATTTTACTTGACAGGTATGAGTTACAAAATCAACCTAATAACCGTTGTATCATAATAATGTTAAAAGTAAATACCTGACTTACAAAACGTTTTTTAAAAAGATATGGTACTGATTCTGATTCAAAACAAGTCATCAACATGGAAAATGTCACCACCTGCCATTTTTTACAAATGCCATTTGTTACAGATGTCATTTGATAGACATCATGTTTAGACGCCAAACGCTGGCCGCCAAACATCAAGAGACGTCCACAAAAGGCTGGGGGACTATAACAATAGGAAGTGGTATGTCACCACTTCAGTTGGTGACATACTGATTCACGAATGTACTAAACAATAATTGACTGCATATAATAATGCATGACATACGAACATTACAAGGATCAATATTTCAGTAAATGCTACAAGTGTAAAGTTTATTCTTGGATCATTAATTTCAATTTGTTTACAAAATATTGGAACAATTGATACATAAGCTCCCTATTTCCTTCTTTCCATTCCATCTCTAAATGTACCTGTTCCTTTTGTTTAACTGACAGAGTCAACATTGTGACAAACAAACAGTCTTCAGGTCTCACAAAAGCTGTTTTGCGTTTCTCACTCACGTGTGTTTCATCTCTGTCTGAATTTGAGGTTGTACCATCAGTTTCAGCACAAACGTTTTCAAGTTTGCTATCTATTGGGGCAATTATTTTTGTTTTTAGGATTTCACTTGCCTGTGTTTCATCAATGTCTACATTTAAGGCTGTACCATCAGTGTTTGCACATACTTTTTCAGGTTTAATATCTGTTGGGATAATCATTTTAGTTCCAATCTTAGATGGTATATTTCTATCTACTCTATTTAACTCTGATTTTGTTTCGCTTGCATTTTCATTATTTTTGGTACAAGCAGCCTTATCCATTTTGTCACCATCACTCATTTCTAAACCAGTACCATGATTTGATTTTTTCGTATCCACTTGATGTGACTCTGATATACTTTCCAAGGATTTTTCATTGTCCATTGATATACTGTTCGGGGCAACAATGTTTGCTAAATCATTATTTGTGGCTATTCTCTGTGATACTGATTCATTCTGATTCCTAGTTTCTGGAACAGTAGCTTGACCATCTCCTTGTTGTTGCACAGGAAATCGAAGTGGATCTGATGAAACAGAGATGTTACCCAGAATGCCTGTAATAGACCTCTGAATGCCTAGCTCCTGGGTAACAACCTCTGGTGTGACATCACGCTCAGAACTCCTAGTGGCTGATTCACAAACTAAATTGATATTCGACTCGTAAGAGTTGCTTTCTGTGAAATTCTCATTACTGAAAGGATTATTTCGATTTTGGGTTTGCTCACAATGATCTGGCATTGGTATGTTCAGTCTCTCTGCAAAGACAGCCATATTATTTGCAATAGTTGTCGTAACAATGTCTTTCACTGCTTCAGCAACTCTATTGGCTATTCGATCTGCAAAGTTATTAATCATATTAGCAGGTGGTGAAGATGGAGTGCTAGCTACAGAGGAATGAGAGGGTATACCCGATGAAGAAGGATTTACACCACTAGTGTAGGATTGTATGCCAGATGAAGAAGGCTTTGGATCATTGTATTTTAGTCTTTTACTTTGGTTGTCAGCCTTAGGGTCTTCAACAGAGGAATCTTCACTGAGTTTTCTTTTCAAAGTCTGAGGTTCTGCATCATCATTAGGGTAATTTGGTAAATCCTTAGTTTCAATGGCATGTTTTTCTTTTAATCTTTTTGGCATTTCAGCTTGATCTGAGTCATGTTCAATTTTTCTTTTCGTTCCATCTCTCACTACTGGGTCTATCTTTTCAGGGTCGGTTTCAATGCATTCATCTCCAGTAGCATTTACATTTTCTTCAGTCTCCCCAGGTTGTTTAACGCAAGCATTCACTTCGCTCACGTTTTCCTTTTTCATATTAACATTGTCATTAGTATTAGGTACATTAAGTTTATTGCTTTGTTCAGCACTTTTCTCTTTCCTATCATTGTCAATTTCAACAGTGTTTTGAGATTGTGATACACTTCGATGCCGTTGTCTTCGCTTTCTTCGTTGATTGGCCCAGGTGTTGGTCACTGGATAAAGTCGTAACTTTGTCATTGTTTTCGATTTTGCAACTTTCTCAAACGGTATCTGGAAATACATATTGGATCTAACATTAGAATGGTGCATTTGAACAATCTGAATCCACATAATAAGCTGCAAATCTGTTTCTTCCTAATCTAATATTATTGAAAAGCAATGCATGCTTGTGTCTCATAATTGTCTTGCTGCTTTTCTAACTCCCTTGCTTTGGCTACAGTAAAGGTTCGGTTGGCAAAATAAAGAGGGGGCAAAAAACCTTCTTTCATATATCACGCTACACTACCCTACCCCCATACTGTAACCTGTATTTGTTTAGAAAGGCTTCAGCCTACAATGAGGTCGCAAATGGAGCGGGAATTCTCTATCTTTATCTTTAGGGCTTGTCTGGCAATAATACTCTACAAACTACTTGATGAATCTATACTATGTACAGTAGAACACTTGGAATATATGTAAAATCTAGAATACCTTCAAAAATATTTTAAAAAATGAACAAATATCCTCCATTTGCAACTTCAATGTAGCATGTATACCTTTAATAGAAATACAGGCTACAGTATGGGGTTAGAGTAGTGTGTATAAGCCTTGACTAAAATACAATTCCAATCAAAGAAAGATGGCAGACAGGTAGTACAGAATACAGCATTTATTTTACTGCAATCCAAAGTTTGGGTTAATTTTATACAAAATGGCAAGGTGCAGGCCCGTAGCCAGGATTTGCCAAGGGGGGGGGGGGGGGTCCAGTTTTCAAAAATGTCCAGGGGGATCACATTTGACAATTTTGGCCCAAATATGGCTAAAATCACTTGAGAAGTGCTCAAAATGGTGAAAAACTGCATGATTTTGAAAGAATTTTTGGCCAAACCCTGCGAACCCCCCCCCCTGGCTTCGGGCCTGAGGTAATACTTAATTTATCAAACTCAATTCTTGTCTACTCATAAAAAGACCAATAAGTTTTAAAGATGATAAAAACATTATATTAAGAAATGTAAACATGCCAAACAGGTAAAAATTCTTGCCCCCTTTAACTTAATATCAATTCAAACACTTTGTTATAATATCAGTGAAAACTAGTTAACATCACATCATTATCACCATAGAAATGTGTTTAAATGTTTTTTCTGTCATAAATACATAGGAAGCATTTGCAAGTTTAAAAAAATACTACGCAATGATTTGATTTTTGTCAACTCCATCTTATCAAAAAAATCATAACACTTTTTAATTCATGCAAATGTTGATAATATTGATAGGTCAATGGTGTTATCAATAAAGATTAACATGTCAAAGGTGTGCAATTAATAGTTCTAAATATTCCCATTGAGAACCTCCAGATCCCCGAAGTTTATCAAAAGGAAAGTACAAAAGGTAGGATCAATCAATAACTTTTACCTTAAAAGGAATATTTCAAGAGGTATTTCTCAGAATCAGAGTTCACTGTTTTTTTATTGATCTAGACAAGCGCATACTTGTTCCTGGTCTCGTTGATTTGATTGAGTTCATAATATTGCAATCACTAAAGAAGTATGGCAGGTACAGATTTTTACATTTTCATAATGGACTTTTTTCGTTTTCACCTTTCAGTTTTCTTATTTGAATGATTTTGTCACTTCAGCTAAAAACATTAAGGGTTATCATGTTATTCAAAATATAAGTATATCATATGTTTATTTCTTCTGCTTTTTGGAAAAATTTAGATTTTCTCAATTATCATGAAATTTCTCCATTTCCAGATTGCAGACTTGCCAAACTTTTTCTTAAAGTTGGACAACAAGTTGGGAGTGACTACATCAAGCTTGGAATTCTCCTTGGTATCACTAATGCAGAAATTGAGACTATCAAAATGGGTCATCCGCACAACGCAGAAGAATGGAGCTTCCAACTGCTAACTAAATGGAAGCAGAAGAACCCGGTTCAGGATGAGGCCACCATCAAGACTGAACTGGCATCAGTTCTGAAGGAAGGTGGACGAGTTGATTTGGCTGAAGTTGTAAACAAAGTAAGTATACGTAGCGATGATTTAAATTGACACAATGTGGTAGGCAAGGAAACTGCCTCACCATGTCTTATGCAACATGACCAAGGCAAATCAACCCATTAACTTGCTTTTTTGAAAATGCTGACTTGATTTTCACGATTTCAAAGTCCAATTGACTGGTCATCTTTGCTTGTGCTTTTCTTGGACAGAGATTGCCCTTAATGACACACATTTTTACAGTAAATACCCTGAATTTAAGATAAAGGCATGACTTTAGAAGCTGGTTTAGAGCTACAATGCCTTGCACAGTTCTTTAAAAGAGGAATGTGGCTAGAAAACAATGACTTGATTTGACCATTTAAGAAAGTAACATGGGCCTGTAGCCAAGGGGGAGGTTTGGGGAGTTCAAAATCATGCAGTTTTTCACCATTTTGAACATTTTCATGTGATTTTGGGTTAAATTTGTGAACCCCTTTGACAAAAGCTGGCTACGGGCCTTGTAACACATGTTGTATGCAGTTTTGTATTATACAATTATAGTTGATGGATGATTAAGTCATATAATTGTTTTTCCATTGCAGTTTAATGATTAATGGATGTACATTGTGAAGTCAAACAAGCATGGGGATATACCAAGGAAACAACACAAAGTCAGACATACACAACAGCAGAAAACAAAATATTAAAATGAGGACAAAAATGAACAACTAATTGGAAACTTTCTATTCAGTATATCCATAGTTTTAGATAATATGTGTTGAAAAAGATTGATTATATAATTTTACTTTTGATATACATTTAAATAGAACTCCGCATTTTACTTATTGGCATTATTTTTATTAAGAGAGTAAAATAATATACACAAAGAGTAAGATGCAACTAAAGTTTTGTTTAATGTTTAACTATTGAGTAACCAGAGGTTCCAAAAAACATCATTACCCCTGTCCCTTTCATCGCTCTTATCAATCCTATACATTACAAACTGCATGACAACAAGTTTTAACATGAATTATGTTATTGACCTCCATGTCTTAGAAGTAAACCATAATGTTAAGTAGCAGATTCAGTCAAGAAATCAATTTATGGTATAGCCTCATTCATAAGTGCAATTGTTTCTTGGCTTTGTTGACAACAACTTTTAACATAAATTATGTTACTCCATGTCTTAGAAGTAAACCATAATGTTAAACATGTAGCAGAGTCAGTCAATAAATTAATTTATGGTACAGCCTCATTCATAAGTGCAATTGTTTCTTGGCTTTGTTGACAACAATTTTTAACATAAATTATGTTACTCCATGTCTTAGAAGTAAACCATAATGTTAAACATGTAGCAGAGTCAGTCAATAAATTAATTTATGGTATAGCCTCATTCATAAGTTCAATTGTTTCTTGGCTTTGTTGACAACAACTTTTAACATAAATTATGTTACTCCATGTCTTAGAAGTAAACCATAATGTTAAACATGTAGCAGAGTCAGTCAATAAATTAATTTATGGTAAAGCCTCATTCATAAGTGCAATTGTTTCTTGGCTTTGTTGACAACAACTTTTAACATAAATTATGTTACTCCATGTCTTAGAAGTAAACCATAATGTTAAACATGTAGCAGAGTCAGTCAAGAAATCAATTTATGGTATAGCCTCATTCATAAGTGCAATTGTTTCTTGGCTTTGTTGACAACAACTTTTAACATAAATTATGTTACTCCATGTCTTAGAAGTAAACCATAATGTTAAACATGTAGCAGAGTCAGTCAATAAATTAATTTATGGTATAGCCTCATTCATAAGTGCAATTGTTTCTTGGCTTTGTTGACAACAACTTTTAACATAAATTATGTTACTCCATGTCTTAGAAGTAAACCATAATGTTAAACATGTAGCAGAGTCAGTCAATAAATTATTTTATGGTACAGCCTCATTCATAAGTGCAATTGTTTCTTGGCTTTGTTGACAACAACTTTTAACATAAATTATGTTACTCCATGTCTTAGAAGTAAACCATAATGTTAAACATGTAGCAGAGTCAGTCAATAAATTAATTTATGGTATAGCCTCATTCATAAGTTCAATTGTTTCTTGGCTTTGTTGACAACAACTTTTAACATAAATTATGTTACTCCATGTCTTAGAAGTAAACCATAATGTTACACATGTAGCAGAGTCAGTCAAGAAATCAATTTATGGTAAAGCCTCATTCATAAGTGCAATTGTTTCATGGCTTAGTTTTATTAGGAGATCCAACAGGGGTCTCCTATTCATTTTATCATTATTAGCTATATACTATATGCTCCTACTTCAAACCTGAGCTGAAAATGGGGGAAAGGAATTTTATTTAGGTCAAAGTTCAAAATTTAGGCCATTGATTGGAATTTTTTATATATGCCATTCTATTAGCCCTTTGCCATCTAGATACATTTTCTCCAGGTTTTGAGATATCAAAATTTCTTTCTTTTCAAGAAAATAAAACCTACTGCATATAATGGGCATGGCCAGAGTATCATACACATAAATGTATGATTTCTCTTTTAATTTTTTAAGCGGCGTGATATATTGGTATGGTTACAATAACCCAAAAGCAGGGTTATGACCTCTAAAGACTACCTTTTCAATTACTGCACCCATATTTATGCCATTTGCATGTTCTCAATAGGCACTAAGTTCGAATACGAATAGTAGAAAAAATACTGGTCAATAATGAATGAATTTATTGAGATGAAATCAAAAAGTTAAGTTCCCTACTTAACTGATACATACATACTTAACGTCAACAGTAAAAGTGCATGTGAATACAGTAATTCCAGATACACAAGCTGAATGATTCGACTGGATTCATATGGATGCACACTATGTGAATCTCAATACTAATAGCCAGTTTAACAATTGAACTTTAATTCATTAAAGCTACACAGCAGTGAAACTCAACCACTGTTTATTCATTTAATGACAAACTTGTATGTCATGCAGTCAATGAAGGAATAAGAAATACAAGTACTGTATAAGTGGTAAGTTTTCCTAAATTTGCCTATTGCCTAATTTTTGGAAGATTTGGAAAATTAAATGTTGG